TCCGATGTTGAGCGTCAAACCCATGTTCTAGCTTGCCACCAGACTTGGTTCAGAGCTTTACTCGCCTACGAAGAAAACTCTGCGTTCATCTCTGAAGAAGACAGGCTTGCGATGGTTGCCTTGAAAATTGGTTATTACACCACTTACACTGCTTCGGCATGTGTACACGATGCCAGTCAGATGTCATTCGATGCGTATCTCGATAGTTTCAAGACCATCATATACCACGCTAAATTCCTCGTAAACAAGACTGTAAACACTGCCAGTCCTGCTCAAGAGCAAAGGATGCATTCTGGCGCTTCCGCGAACTTTACATTCGATACTTGTCTAGTCCCCGCCTTGTACTATGTCGCCCTCCGCTGCCGCCACCCATCTACCCGTCGCGCTGCTATCGCGCTCCTTTCTCGGGATCTTCCCCGTGAAGGCCTCTGGGACCCCGATCTCTATCGCATAGTAGCCGAGCGTATCGTGGAGATTGAAGAGAAAGAAGTTGATGGGAGGGGCTGGCCGGTAGAGCGAACGAGATTGTGGAGTGCAAGTGTAACGGCGGACGTCGGTGAGGAGAGTGGACTTCGATCAGATTTCTTGTTTGCAAGGGATGTTGGGAGGGGGATGGGGAACACGTGGAGCGAAAAGAAGGTGCCTTCTGTAGCTGAGCTATATGTTGAGGTGTGCAATGCAACTTAGACGCTTAGTAACAACGCCAAACATCTATGCATAGCGCATACAGAGCATCGACAGACCCGGTATACTAGGAGTAACAATCTCAATCTCAATCGCCCACAGACAAAATTATCCTCTCCGTGCCAGAAATGTCTACAATTATATGGATATCCGCTGCCTCCCAGAACCTTACACACTCGTCTTCCTAGAGAACGCCAAGTGACTCCAGACACTGCCAAACCCCACCGTCTGGCCTTTATACCAGCCGTGGTGATGCTTTTAGTACAATCAAGAAGAAGAAGAGGAACAACAAGCAGAAGAGTGATGTTACATATCCGTAATCATAGCCTGATCGTCGCCACGCTGACCCTCGGTCACGATACCAAGAAGACGCGCATACGGCACCGTGATACGCTGGAGGTCGCGATGTTTACCTGCATGCCATGTTAGCAACCTGAAATCCGAAAACATCGTAAAAGATAAGCATGAGAGAGAAAAACTTACCAAGAATCAACACCGCCTCCTTGAGCAACTCCTCCCTCTTCCACCCGCAGATTTCTTCCGGCTCCTTCATTGCGCCTTCATCCTCTTCCTCATCGTTGTTGTCCTCCTCATCCTCAGAAACAAGACTGCCCATGAGGCTGCGCAACAACTCTTCAATCTTCCCCTTGAGGCCCTCAGCACCAAGACGCTTAACGTACATGGTAAGATAGATCTTAAACTCCTCCCTCGCACCCAGGGTGCGTGCGGCTGCAACGCGGTTCTCGAGATGCGCCACAGACGCCGAACTCTCAAACGTTTCGTAGCCCTCTGCAGAAACCAGGATCTTAATGAGTCGCTGGAGGTGGAAGGCGCGGCCTTGGAGTAGGGATTGGTTCGTCGTGTTGCGTTCGAGTGCAGGTATGATTCCTGCTGAGATGTTCTCGATAGAGACCTGGTCGTCCTTTTCTTTCTGTGCTGCGTTTTTGTCTTTGGAAGATCGGATGTTGCCGACGGAGGAATCAGTAGAGTTCCAGTATTGACTTGTAACACCCCACCAGGGTTCTGAAAGACGTTGCCAAATGTACATGTCGGGGTTGTATGCGTAGCCCTCGCCGTTTGACATGGCTACTGTTATGCGGCCTGCAGAGTTTAGGCGCGCGAAGACGATGCCAGGAGAGCGCGTGAGGTGGGGGCCCTGGGCATAGGCTGCAACGTCGAGGATGGGAGCTAGGGAGATGGGTGGGTGCGGTGCGGACATTGTTTTTAGGTTCCAGATGTAGACCATGCCGACTGCTGTTATGCACATTAGCCACCAGCCACGGCAGTCCATGATTACGGGTTGTGCTTCTAGGACCATGGCGTTGAGGGTTCGGCGACCAGCGGGAGTCCACGCGTATACTGAGCCGTCCTCGCATGCCGCTGCAAAGAGGTTCGTGTTGCCTGTGACTAGGAGTACGGCTTTTGGCAGGAAATCCTGCCAGAGTGACTGCCCCTTGCTGGTACAGGTTAGTCTTGTTGGATCGTGGTCTTGTGGACGGCCTGTCCGTGATGGCCCGCTGGCGTTGCGAGCTTCTAGGATGACAGTGTCTGGTATTTCTGCCTTTCCTGTATTGGCATCAACACCACTCTGCGGTGGCTCGCTGCCGTCCATGGTTCGCACGATAACACTTCTGACTTTTGGCACAGCCAATCGTACCTGAGCGAGGGCCATGTGAGGATTGACGATGGCGGGCCTTAGAACCGATGGAGGCTCTGTCAGGTCGTTTGTCTTCGATGGTGCAGCAGCCGGGGGAACCAGACCCTTCTCGCTATTAAGTACAATTGCTGCACCTCCAGGTTTGACTGAACCAGCCAATCTCCGCTCCACTTGTCTGTCTTCATCGCCTTCGATTTCAGCGAATTTCCTCTTGTTTCCTATCAACATGGTTGCGAGTCCACCTTTTGGAAACCCATCGTATGGCTTCGACAGATCTAAGATATTGTGGGGATTATCATTCCTACCGCCTGACGTGGCTGTTGCAGAGAGGAGCTGCGTTTGAGGTAAGGATGATTCGCCGACACCGGAGGAAGACGACATGAGCATAGGTGCTATCCGCTTCTTGCCATCCTTATTGATGGTCACCCTTTGCTTGAGCTTCTCGACTCTAGCATCTGGAGCTGGCTCAGTAGGGGCCGCTGGTGGTGCAGCAGCGCTCGATCCATTTGTGAGGTTTGTCGTAGTAGTGGCACCGTTGGTTCCGTTGGGGATGGTTGGAGGTTGGACTGCACCTCCGGCGTCGCCCATGAGTGCACCCATCCTGCCTTGAACACCCTTTAGCTCTCCACTCTTACTGCTCTCTTCCAGAAGTAGTGCGTCTGTACCCTCGATGATGCCAACTCTTCTGCCAGCACCAAACTTGGCAAGTGTCTTTTCGTTCTCTGCCAGTGTCGCTGGATAGCCTAGTTCTCCAGGCGCAAACACAAGTGTCAATATGCTACCATCGAGACTGGTAGCGTATAGCGTTTCCCCGTTTGGTGCCCACGACAAGTCAGAAATAGACTTTCCTGCCAGCTCCTGCGAGATCATAAACGGTCTAGGAAAGCTTGTATTCCACACACTCAAGCATTTGTCTTGTCCGGCGCAAGCAACAATTGTAACAGTTGGCTGATTGATAGTTCCGTCCTTTTCTGGTCGCGGTGGGTCCCGGTAAAACAATCGCGGAGAAAACGAGGTTACTTCAACGGGCCCTTCATGGCCGACCAGACTGATGTCTCCGTCCCACGAACCACGCGCAAGGATAGCGACGGAGCTGACTGGCCCGTTTGTAGCATTCGCAGCGGCGATGTGTGCGCCATCGGGCGACCATGAGCAACGGCGGAAGTATGTGGTAAGCGGGGAAGTCTGGAAGGGCGCGGTGATGGTATGGTCCAAAACAAAGTTGTTGACCTGGTCTTGCTGCGAGGCGTTTGGCGGCGGAGAGTTGAATCGGTAAACCTTGATGGTGCGGTCGTCGCTAGCAGTAGCGAAGTATTTGTTGGCTGGGTCAAATGTTATGCCCTTGACGTGACTCTGGTGGTTTGACAGTGTCTTCAACTTCTCGAAGGAATGCCCAGACCAGACTACGACTTTCGAGTCCAACCCCACCGATACCAGAATTGACGAGTCAAATGACCAGCCAAGATCCTGCACATCGTTTTCGTGTCCTATGAGGCGGCGAGTGACACGCCAATTCTCGACGGGTGGGGGTTCGTTCGATCCTGCGATTCTATCAGCTCATCTTCATCGTGGGTGCCCTGCCTTTACCCACCAAACGTTGGACGCGCCGGCGCCGCATTCTTGTCGAGAGTATAGACGCATACTATCTTGTCGTCTGCGCCAGAAGCCAGGTATTTGCCGTTGGAAGAGAAGCGGACCGCGTGAATGGTACCAGAATGATGGCTCACAGCCGCGAGCTGCTTTGGTTTCGTATACGAGGGGTCGTTTGAGTTCAGGATAGCCTCGGTAGACCATACACGTACATAGCCATCTGTAGATGATGTGTCAACAGTCTTCTCGGGAGGAACGCATCGCGCGGGAAACCCCAGGGTGGGTTGACGAACCTCCGGCAGCCGTGGCCAAGCGCGATCCATCAGGGGAAACGTGGCAACTGTATACTTCGAAGTCCTTCTGTTCGCCTATGACAAACTCGTGTCAGCAACATGGCAATACAACAATAGCACATGCATGCGCAGAGATGCACTAACCCGGGTGTGTTAACCACTGTGGTTTAATGAGATGCATGGTCGCGTAAATATCGCTAGCAGTTGAATCATGCTATTACGCGACCATGAAAGTAGGGCAGAAAAGGCTGGAAGAAGAGGTCGTGGGTTGATAGTTGGGGCGCACGTTTTGGTGAACCGCGACAGTTGTCTGGTGTTGGCGACGCGATCTCGCGGTCGACGCTACTTGGCAGACGTTTGGGCAGGGGTTTAAGGTTTAGGTGCATGCGCCGATCAGAAAGTGGACGTTAAACGAGCCGCTCAAGACTGTGGGGGTGTATCATGCATTCATGCTAACACTACGACTTGGTCTTCCTTCATCTCGCTGTCTCTAATCATTTGTTACGCAAGAACGGCTAAGGTCCTCTTCGAAGCTGGCCAGCCATCCCGCTTCCCTATTGGTTGCTTGTTACAAAGACATCTAAACCTGGAACTACACTACTCAACGCGGCATTCTGCTGAATGCATCCTACCCAGCTTCGTTGTCCAAGTCATAATCCAGCAAGCCCTTGCATAGATAATAAAGATGCTCTGATACACGCATGTCCTGCTGCTTGGTGCCAAAGCCCATACAAGTCTCGCTTGAGCTCATTGGAAGCAGATCCATTTAACGAATGTCCACTTCGAAACTGGATTCTATAACAGACGAGCCGAGGCTGATAACAGCGTGATCGACCGGTGGCGCATGGATTGTGGATGGAACGGGTCATGATGCTGCTCATTTCGCCTTCTTCCTCTTCTTGAAAACCACCGCTGGTGTAGCTGGCGCATCCTCCTCCTTTTTCACAATGGCCTCGGCAGCCTTTGCTTCCGCTTCTTCAGCCGTGGGTATATCCTGCAGGGTCTTGGCCTCGTTCTCTTCTTCAACTTCAGCTTTCACTCCATCCCCAGGTTCTTCCCTCTTGACCTCTGGCTGCAATTTCTTCTTCCTAAGCAAGCTCTCAATGTCATCGTCATCGCCACCCTTGCTGCCCGGGAAACTCTTGTACGTGTGTCCCCAGCCTTTCCGTTTGGTGATGAGCTCTCCGGCAGCCTTTTGCTCTTCCTCATCCTCATCCAGTTGCCGCTTCCGCACACCCTTGTTCAACGATGTTGCCTTGAACTCTCCGTCCTCAGTGACTTCTCCCACGACTTCTTCCTTTACTGTCTTCCATTCGCCCGCTATCGCCAAATCGCCTCTTGCAGCCGCGGGAAGCGCCACACCCATAGCTGCCAGCTGCTCCCATTGTCGTTTCCTGTCGTCTACTGTGGCTTTCTTCTCGGGTTCCTTCTTGAATGTGGGCTTGCCGCCTACGCCAGTCGCGACGGAAGGAGTGGAGGATGCCGATGGTACAATGCCATTCAGCCGAGCGACCTCTGCTTGTGCGCGCGCCTGATTGCGCTTCTCGTTTTCCTGTTCGCGATGTAGTCCCTTCAGACTACGCTGGATGTTGCCTTGGTGGCGTCCGGTCGCTTCGTGTTGCGCGCGCTCGAATTTGGTGTCCTTGACAAACACGGAGCAAAACTTGCACCAGTATTTTGGCTGCAGTAGAGTTAGGGTATGACGCGCTTGTCTTTCTTGGTCTCACTTACTGTCGATTTCCAGTATTCGGCCATGGTTGAAGGTCAGAGGAGTGCTTCGCAACCATCCAAAGTCGGGGAAAGCTTGCTTGCCGCACGGTCCAGGTGGTCTCGGTGGTCCGCAATGCGAAGACGAGACGAGTTCGCATGGCGCGAACCACGACTGCGGATCTTTCACCGCTACCCCCACTTAAACACAAATCCGTCTTCACATGTCTCGCACTAGTTTCTCATCGTCATACCTTCCACATTTCTACATCGACGGGGCTAGGCTCTTGTGATAATCGTAATGCACGTCATCCAGTCGACTAGGAAGAGAGTGGCATCTATCGAGACACCGGCTAGCAGCAGAAAAGCAAGCCTTTACTACTCTCGTGCCCATACACGTACTAGAGAGTCGACTGCATTCATGCGTTTGGACTAAAGGGCGCCTTAGCGATGCGCGCGTGAACATCAACCTTCCGTCTTAGCCGTCCATGTATGTCTCGGTGGACTGTCTACACAATGTTGCCCTGCAACACCTCGCACACCCATGGAGCCTTCGAATGCTGTATCCCTGGCTTCATCCATCATACAAACTGTCGAGTACTCGGCCAAAGTGGTACACAAGGGTAAAGTGGGCGGTCTACACGGATCTGATGCCAACGCCTTGAAAGAACCTACACTGCTCGATGACGCGATAGCTAACCTCGCCGACTTATCACAACAACTCAGGAAGACACAGCATGTAGTCCGAAATTCCAATACCACTCCTGATCAACACAACACAGCGGATGCGCAACTTATCGCATGTGCGAAAGATGGTGCGGGAGTGGCGAAGATTTTACAAGCCACACTGGATCAAGCGAAGCGCAACCACGACGTGGATGAACAAACTGTACTTGATCATGGACTACGCAGCGTCTTGTGTTTGTATTATAACCAGAAGACGATTTCAGCTTTTTTAGACACGCTCAATTCTGTTCGTAAGCAAGTAGATATCGCTCTTCTCGCCTCACTCAAGTAAGTGTGATACTCCCGATACAATCACCCATTAATCGTTGTCACAGAAAATCCATTTCACAGCTTAATCAAGCTCATCTGGAAAAGGGATGGCTTTCCGGGGACAAAGCGGCCAACGCCCGTGTGCAGTTACTTTACGCCGTCAACCATCACAATTGGAAGCCCACGGAAACGGCCGACATTTCATCGTTTTCAGACGCTTTGAAAGACGCCGTTGTAAGCGACGACATAGAAAGTCGCTTTGCGAGCATGATTTTGGCACACTTACGTTTCACTGGCTTGCCCGATCGCTTGAAGGCAATCCCGTGTACACACCCCGGAACTTTTCAATGGACGTTCGACGGAAGCTACGAACGGACTGATTCTCGTGATTACGAATCCTTCCCTCGGTGGCTCGCTGCAGTCGATGGTAGCAACCTGTATTGGGTTTCTGGCGAGCCCGGTGCTGGGAAGAGTACGCTGATGAAGTTCCTATCCAGTCACCGTCGGACTGCTGCCCAATTACAAACTTGGGCCAAGGCAAAACCAGTCGTCAAGGGAAGATTCTTCTCCTCAAGTCTGGGAAACAACATGCAAAAGTCGCGATTGGGCCTTCTACAGACTTTGCTTTATTGCGCACTCAAACGTGACAGGAAGACCTTACTACAGGTTTTCCACCATCGCTGGCAGCAATTTCGGACTTTTGGCGGGGGTCGACAACCTTTTACATGGAACGAGCTACGCTATGCCTTCATCATGATGGTTTCAACCCCTCTAACGCCGAGGTCATTTTTCTTCGCGATCGATGGCCTAGACGAACTTGACGGAGACCCGAAAAAACTTGTGCAATTTCTCACGGACGTGGCTAAGTTTCCGCAAATCAAACTTTGCGTAGCTAGTCGGCCAACACCAGAGTTCCTTCGCATTTTCAAAGGCGAGCCTTGTCTTCGCCTCGAACGCTGCAATCGCCAAGACATCCACAATTACGTCAAGGCTTCGTTCATAGGCAACGAAGTGTATGCAAATTTCAATAGATCAGACCCGGATCTGCTACCAATATCATCAAAAATATAGCCAAGAAGGCAGCCGGCATCTTTCTCTGGGCATATGTCGTGGTAAATGTTCTGCTTGATGGACTGGTGACAACAGCCCGCATTCACGACCTTGTCGCTCAACTGGAGTCCCTCCCGTCTGGATTGGAGCAACTCTTCACGAAACTCATTGGTAGTCTGAATATACGGCACCTGAGGCACGCCTGCCAACTCTTCCGTCTGTTTGCCGTGAAAACACGACCAATGTTATTGGAGCTCTGGTTTGCAGACTGTGAAAATGATGATCCGGCACTGAGGAGCGACGCCAGACCGCTGGCAAGATCTGAGATCTTGGTGCGTCTCGGAACTATGAAACGTCAGCTAAACTCTCGATGTCGAGGTCTACTAGAAGTGGAAAGCTCGCACAAGGGCTCCAGCGCCGTGCTGTCAGAAGGTACGTTCGTGTTGTATTCGAGGTCCAATCGAAGCTGAACACAAGCAGCATCTCATGTCACCTGGACACATAGCATTGCGCGCGACTTCGTCCGATCTCAGCGAGTCTGGAACATCGTGCTCGATAATACCGGACACGACGCTTTCGATCCGCAATGGCACTGGGCCAACGGCCAACTCGGCCTATTCAAGACACTCGCTGGTACCATTAGTACCAAGACCTCCCACTTCGCCTCCTGCATCGAATATGCATTAAGACTAGAACACCGTCTCCAGATTTGTCCAATCAAATTTCTGGATGAATTAGGACGTACTGCAGCCATATACTCGACGGTGTACGGTGAACTCATACCCCGCAAGCTAAATATCAGCGTCGAAAACTTTCTTGATTTTGCTGTGTTGTTCAACCTCACCAGCTATGTTCGTACCAAAGGTGTCACGCTACCAAGAGAAGATTTGGTACGTAGTTGTCGCTTACTAGGCTTGCTGGATGTCAAGCAATGGGAGGTATGTTCAAAACGCTTCGGCGCCCCAGCCGTCTGGAACGCGGATTTCGAGGAAATGAAAAGAGAGATGGAGCGTGTAATGAATGGTTTGCTTGATCGTGGGAGTGACAAATCGAGATGGGAGAGGGCCAAGAAGAGACTGTCTAGGCAGAGAAAGACGTAATCTGTCGCTCTTGAACGTACGTTTCGATAACTTGGACAGAGTATACAACGGATGGCTTGGCAGAACCATTTCACGTCTTACTATCCGGGATCATTGCAGAGGGTCTGCATAGTATACATTTTAAAAAAACAGTATTCTACATCGCGAACCATGGAAACAACACGAGCATATCAAGCATACCACCTCATTCCCTTTCCAGGGCCTTCAGATTGAACTCCGTGTACTCCGGCATCTCCCACCTCTTTTCCTTCCCTTCTGGTAAAAGTCCCGCAAGCCACCCGATTACCCTATCAACTCTTAGACTACTCACCGTCCAAAGCGCCCAACCCGCCATCCAAAGCCCCCACTCTGAACTCGGAAGGGGACCCTTTCCATCCGCATAGGGCCCAAGCTTCTGACATTCCTCAACAGGCTGCTTCATGGCCTCTTGATAGGCTTCCAGCGCAGCATCGACGTCGTCACCATGTCGAAACAACTCGCCCGCAAGGACGTATGCGCCGATGAGGGAGAGTGTAGTGCCCATTCCTGTAAAGGGTGAGGGACAGTATCCCGCGTCGCCAAGGAGGACAACGCGGTCCTTGTAAAGTTTATGCTGAGGCATCTTCACTTGGCCAATTTCTGTGGCGTAGAAATCTTTTACCGTGTCTAGGCCTTGGAGAAAGCGTGGGCACTCCCATCCTGCATCTTGGTACAAGCTCTTCCAAGCATCTTTCTGTTCCTCGGCGGATCTCTTCTGGTAAGTCGCCATGTGGCTTGCTCTGTCTCTGTCTTTGCCGTTCATGAGGAATAGGTAGACTTGCGTTGCCGGTTGGTTGCCCGTACGTGTCATTACCATGCGGTTGTTGGAAGCGAAGTAGATGCGTGCTAGGCTATCTTCTGTGGGAAGACGAGGGATCTTGTAGTATGCGGCATGGATATTCATGGAGTGGAAAGCCGAGCTGGATATTTCGGAGCCAAAAGCAAGGGAACGGGTTCGTGAAGCTTGACCATCTGCTGCGATTACCAGATCGAAGGTGCGGGTCTCGCCGGTGGAGAATGTTACTGTTGCTGTCTTGGGGGAAGATGAGGATTCAGAATGGGAGAGCGCGGTGATGGTTTTGCCGAACTCGTAGGTCAGTCCACCTTTGACATGTCCTCTGGTGGTTAGAATCTCGCGTTCCTGGATGCTGATATCATGCATCATTTTGACGAAATTCCCTCTCATGAACTCAAACTCATGGGTCAGAGTCAACGCCCCAGCGGTGTCTCCTGCTTTCGTGATACCGAATTGCATGAGGCTTTTACCATTTCGGTCAACAAACTCCATGCCGCCTTCTTTGACACAGTAGGAGCGAATTGTGTTCAGAAGACCTAGTTTCTCCAAGATGGGGATGCCTTGTGCTTTGATATCGATTTGCTGTCCGCCTGTCCGGAGCGTGGGAAACCGTTCTATGACCGTGATCACGTGATTGGGGTTAGAACGTTGGAGCATGAGGGCGAGGGCCGGACCGCAGACGCCCGCGCCTACAATGAGAATGTTCAAGGATGATGGCGATGTCGTCATCTTTGCGATGATAGCGCTGATGTATGAGGACGTAGGCTAGACAAGGACAAGGGTTTGTGGAAGGTTTACGGAAGACTTGTGGTAAGAAGCTTGTCAAAGACTTGTAAGAAGCTTGGTGTTGATCCTACCCAGAAATTAAGTTTGGCTTTCAAGGGTTTCCCCGAGTCGCGCCGCATGTTATATTTCCATTGCTACACAAAGCCATCGGCGTACGAGGCGGCTCCGACTTTTAATCCGTAAGACCGAAGTCATCTCCGTGAGGCACATTAGCGGCCGTCGGACAAGCTCTTTGAGGCCGGTGAAAGGCCGGTGCTAAAGTTACCCTTAAATTCACATGCCTGCTTACTACTAATCTAATCTGATCTGATGGCGTGATGTCTTCGCTGAAGTTGCTAAAGTTGATACTAAGCTTCTTGATTCAGTGCTCTAGGCAACAATAAAAGTGATGTCACGCAGTGGGTCTCACTGTTGCTTGAGGGCTGCGAAGACAGTCATTGGATATATGATTTAGGCAGCGAAGAAAGCACTATAGTACGAGCATTAGGCTACAGCCCATGACACCATGAAGCCAAAAATCCTTCATCTTCCCTGGGGGTATCTAACCATCTGCGGACATCTCAGCAGCCCATATCCCAACCCTTTTCCTGCCCACTCACTCAGATCGATATCGGTACTATCCACAGTCTTCCAGCCCATCGTCTCGTAAAACCTCTCGGCCGAAGCAGTGGTCTGTACGATAACCAATTCTTTCTCTAGTTCGTACTCACGATACATATAATCTATCATCATCCTCCCGACCCCTTTTCCCTGCCACGCAATCTTGACGTTCATAGCCCCAATTGCTGATTCATGGTATAAGATATCAGTCTGCTTGTCGACTAGATTCTAGCTGAGGAAGAGCTACTTACTGACATGGGGCTTACCAGCCGTGATACCACGCCATTTAGCGATCACGTTCCTCGACCAGTACCGTCCAAATGTCCCTGGATTAGTAGGTCCTACTTCTTCATCTGGAGCGACCGCCTGCGCACTTGACGGTGTCACAGCATTAACCCAGCTCCCGTCCTCCCACTTCACCAGCCCCCATCCCACCGTCTCTTCGTTCCGTGAATCCACGGCTTTGATCAAGTGAAACTTTTGCCCATCGGGTTCAGTAAAACGTCCGGAGAGTCGACTGATGAGGGCATTTGACTCTTTCTCTGTAGCAATGCTGTGGTAGGGGCTGAACTGGAAATGGGTCAGTAAAGAGGTCTCAGCGGCTTCCGTGCGAATTGCTGCGAGGGTGGGGATGTCGGAGAGAGTGGCGGGGTGGATGGAGATGTATTCTGTCATCCTTGTTGTGCAGTGTAAGCGCAAGGTATCGATCGATGTGGGATGTTGGTATGATCTTTGTTGCGTTTAGGATACCATACCTATTGCGGGGTCAGTCACGATCAACGACGCCGATTGTGGCGAAAGAGTGATAATACCATGTCGCATACCTCCTGCCGCAATTGGCGTAGTGCTTAGAGCTATCACATCTTACCACAGCAAAGACTTTAGCTTTGGAAACCTGGTTTCCTAGGCTCGAGGTGCATATGGACCCTGCAAAGTCGACCAGTTGATATTAGCCTCAGTCCTTCAATGCTCTCGGACCTTTAAGCTTACTATTGTTGATGCTCTCAAGAGAGTTTACGTAGCTGCGGACTTACTAAGACTTTGCGAGCCTTTGCAACGCAGGTGTGACTGCAGGCTATGTAATTGTGACGAGTAAAACAAATAAAACGTAGACTACGGACTGTACAAGGATACTTGACGCTCAACCACAATCTCCAAGCCACTGGCGAACGAAGCTGCGCTGTAAGCGGCTGCTCCATCCTCGCGAAGTATGCAATGTTCCCCGCTTTCCTGCTCTGCGGCCCATACAGCCTTCACGTACGTCCAGACAAGCAACGCCAGTACATCTCTTCAACATCTAAGCGCTTTTGGGCAATGAGATCCCTTGGCAAATCATCCCAATCGAGTAGTATCGCTAGCGAAGGCCTTGAGAAGCAAAAGGTTCACCAAATTCGTCGAAGAGCCGGACTCTACAGCACGCATCATGGCGCGTACCACGAGAGAAATGAGACATTATGTGTTGTCGCTGCGTAGGCGTTGTGATGGTGTTCGGTGACCCGCTCGGTGGTGAACTACGTTATAAAATAAAAAAATTCAGTCTCAGAATGATGTTCACAAAGCTTGCCGCACTTGAGAATGGCTTAAAAGGGGCTTTCTCCCTCGGTTTCTGTGGTCGATTCACTGTGTTCATGCCTCCGGTCGGCCGTCCGACTGTCCTATTTAAATAAGTCCAGCCTTGCTCCTTAGAGATGTCGTGGAACTTGAACAGGTCATTATGGCTGTATGGAATGCCCTTCGCGTCCATGTACTCCGCAGCCCCCTTGATGCGGGACCTTTTTGGTGTATCGATTTTGACAATACCCTGTCTTGAAATGGCGAAGAAGATGCGCGCAAGATGTCCCGGTATTAATAGGGTGGTGGTGGAGTAATTGAACATTGAAGTTAGGATATTGTGGAGATGACCATTTGTTGGAGTGCGCGGCTTACGCGCTGGGCCCCTTCTTGCTCGGCGCGTGGCGAGCAAAGTCCTTTGACCCGTAATGACCTAATTTGCTGCAGGGCTCTAGGCTTACTCTGTGGCTTATTCTGTGGCTTCAGACTACACCCTTTCCAGAACATCCTGCACGCCTTACAGACTAGCGTCGCACAGAAAGCCGGGAGTAAGATCAGCTACAAGAAGGCCTCTTCTTCTAGTTACGCACCACGATACAGCTAATAAATTCTAATAAAAAGACAAAACATATAACAGAATGGCAACATGCTTGCAAAAGCAGAAGCCTTTAGACGCTGGATAGAAAAAAATTATTGGAGGCCTTGTTGCGTGAGGAGGGCTCTCCACCATTAGCCTAGGTCTGGCTTTCTCTGCAACGCTAGAGCCAGAACATCCATCTCCGTAATCCTAACTTGTAAGATTTGTCTAGGGTACAAATCCTACCCCCAAATTTAGCGGATGGATAATAACGGGATAGATCTCGTCCCTTTCTTCTTTCCAATGGTTTCCTAGAACATTCTTTCTGGTTCGCAGGCTGCTGCGCTACCTTTTCACGTTAGAGTACAGTACCGGTACTATGCTTATCCGTCCCAACCATGTATCTTGCTGGCGGGCTGGTTTATTCGCGGGACTATGTTCCATCATCGCTCTTTACATCTTCTTTGCACGAGGTCACATCTCAACTTTCCAACCATTTCTTTCCGCCGGCTCTGCCTTTTCTGCAGACTACCAGACTAACCTCATCTCCTACTGGAAAGAGCTCGCGAGTTCCCTCGAAGCCGCGCGCCCAGTATGTCCTCCCATCAACGTCACGACCGAGGAAATGCCCAATGAGGATAGAAACTTTGAACCGCTTAAGAAGAAAGAGAGACCGGAACGATTATTTCTGCCGGCAGGAGACGAGGCGGAGCTGATGCGTGCACATCGCCATATGCGCGTCGCAGCCCGACGCCTAGCACCGCTATTACCAGTTGGGGATGAGACTGGTATCGTCACGACTGGCGGATTGAAATTATTCCCTGTCTTGCTTGTATCTCTACGCATGCTTCGGCGGACAGGATGTACGTTACCGGTTCAAGTTTTCCTCGGTGATCAAAAAGAGTATGAAGAAGTAAAAAGTACATGTGAGGATGTGCTACCGAGTTTAAATGCACAGTGTCACGTCGTTGAGGATGTCTATTCGACAGCGGATGTTGCTATCGCGCCGCCAGAGCACTTTCAATTCAAAATCCTCGCCATTCTCTTCTCGTCATTTAGACATGTTCTTTTTCTCGACGCGGATGCATTTCCGGCACACGACCCAACACCTCTCTTTAATGTACGTCGCCTATCCCACAGCCCAAACCCAAGCTAACCAACGTTGCGCAATGATAGTCTCCACCATACACAACCCACGGCCTCGTAACGTGGCCCGGATTCTTCGCCAACACCGCATCCCCGCACTACTACCACATCGCAGGCATCGCCGTACCGCCACCAAACCGCGGCACAGAATCAGGCCAACTACTACTGGACAAGAAGCACCATGCTGAAAGTATTCCCATGATGGTATATTACAACTACTTCGGCCCGGACTACTACTATCCCTTACAATCGCAGAACGGCCCGGGGCAAGGCGATAAAGAGACGTTTAGCGCTGCTGCCGTGGCAGTGAATGCGCCTTTTTACGGGGTGAAAACCCCCGTGTCAGCCCTCGGCAATCATGTCGATGGACAATACATATTCGCTGGAGCGGGCCAAGCAGATCCCATGCAAGATTATCTCTATGACCCTCCTTATCCAAACCACATACAACCCGAATACGAACGAAATGAGGAGAAGAACCAAGTTAGAGCCTTTTTCGTGCATACAGTGTCTCCGGAAACGAAACTCAATCCGCTGAAGCTTTTGCGCGAGGGCGGCGTGGCATGGGATGCAAATGGGGATTGGCATAGGATATGGGGGAAGGAGAAGAACGTAGTGGAAAAATTTGGGTACGATGTGGAGAAAAGGATGTGGGAGTGCGTGGAGGAGGAAGCTTGCAGGACGGATCAGGACGTGTGTATGGAGGTCAAGGCTTTCTATGCGAAGGTGTTTGGGACGATGCCGGCGAAATAGCGACAGGACTTGTGTTGAAGAACTGCGACTGCTTCACTGTTGTTCCTGCGTGGCCATCAGTCATTGCCTTGGTACAAGTGGGCTACTGGACGCGCTTGCGGCGCCGTTCCATCTCCTTGTACAGGTCTTTCATCGAGCACCACGGCCGTTGCACCTTGTTCGCGTCTTGCCAGCCAATACGTGGCGTAGGACCGGGCAGGAAATTCGTTGGAAAGCGTGCGTTCGGCACTAGAAAGGTCGAGGAGTGTTGGATCGGTATTGCTGTCCCGGTGCAGGACTAGAATGGCTCAAACGCTTGGAGTGGAGTGCGCGTACCCTCTGGCTAAGCGAGACAGGAGTAAGCATGCGATGAAACACTGGGTGGCGTGCAGAAAGCAGAAAAACTGCAAGTGCATGAGAGTGTATATGTGTCCGCGGCGGAGTCTTCCGACATAACGAAGTAATGTTCTCCCGACTGGCTTACCCGAGTAATATTGATGACAGCTGAATAATGTTCTTGGGTTGTTAATTTGATAGCTACATTGGTTACCAGCTTACTACATACAGTGGAAACAACGTGTTTGCACTAGCCGCTCGACCAACTAGGCGCTGCTGGTTGACCTTGAGAAGTGCGGAACGGAAGCGACTGATCTGCGCAGATGTCATTAGCCACGTCGCTTTCGTGATCGTTTCGTGAGAGACGGCTTCTTGTCGTGAGCGTGCCTAGCAGCATCAAAAAGTGGCTCATACAGGGACTGCAGATCTGCATTCTCACGGCATCGCCGTTTTGCCATCTCAACAGCTGTCCAGGCCATCTTGAGGGAGCCTCGGGATTTCTTTCCCCTGTGGGACTTGGGGCGCCAATTTTCCCGTTTGTCGTATTGAGACCAGTATGGTGCTCTTGGTTTGGCCTTTCGGTTGTTGTTAGCAAAGTTGAGGTCTCCAACATTCCAAGTCGCCTTGGTGTCCAGGTTGAGGCCGGAGGCCAACTGCTTGATCATTGCGCCGTTTTCGCGTACTACCGCAATGTGCATGAGACTGAGTCCATCACTGAACGCAAGATTGAGATTCGCTCCAGGACGTGTCAGCATCATTCTGCAGATGTCTTCTGATCCAAATGCTGCTGCTGCGCCCAGGAACGAGTTGCCGCAGCTGTCCCGGCAGTTTATGTCGATATCTTCGTTGTGCAGATGCAAGTGCGCGTAGTCGTCAGCGTGCCTACCTCTCAAGAGAGCTCGGAAAAGGGCTGCGTGCTTCAAATGGACAGGAGCGACCCCGATGATATCGGCAGCTACCTGGCTAGCTTTGATCCAACCATCGTCCATCAACATCTCCTTGTCAACTGTCATTCCATATTTTCTCCTGATTTCCCAATCTCTCTGGTCCTCGGTGTAGAGCCAGACCTTGTGCTTCTCCCACCATTGCAGATAAGTGGCTATGGTGTACAGCCATGTTGCCTCACCGTTCCAGGCATCTTCGATATGAGCCTTGAAATAGCGGAACAGACGTGCAACCACCGGTATGACATCCGTAAGCTTCGCCTTATCTTGATATAATGTCGCCACCCATTCATGTACATGCCAAGTTATGCTGACAGTATGCAACCATCGAGGCATAGCTTCGTGAAGCACATCTGGGCGGCAATTATCCATGGTGTCCAGTACCATACTAAGCAGTGAGTACCACCTGGCTGCACGTCTTTCGTACGCCCGCTTTGTCCACCTATCTGGTTTTCTCGCAAGCCTTTCTTTCGACCATATCTTCGGAGAGGTCCTGCCCTTCTTTCTGTCGGGGCCCCAAATGTTATCGATATCGAAGTCACTATCACGGTCGTCGTCGTCATCATCATCATCATCATCATCATCATCATCATCATCATCACTATCCTCGCTCTTATCGTCTTCATCATCATCACTATCCTCGCTATTACCGTCTTCATTATCTTCGTCATCCTCGATCTCAGATTTGTCGTCAGAATTACCTTCACTACTATTGCTCAAATCACTGGCGGTATCGCCAGTATCATCCCCAGTCTCATCCGAATCATCTTCATCAGTATCGCTTGTGTCCAATTCATCTTCTTCGTCCTCCTCATCATCGTCAACGCTGTCGTATTTAGGCGCCCATAATCTTCGCTCGATATCTTCAACATCCATAGCGTACAGCAACAGGATACTCACAAACTGGAACAACGTCAAAGTATCGTCCTCTAGCGTATCCTTCTTTTGAGTGCCTCTGTATTGAGAAGAGCTATACATGGATGACAGAGCCCATTGCGCCTTGGTTGCCTTCTCTGGTTGCTCATCAATTCTGATCAATCTTGCCATAGTCTGTCTGAACTCTAACAGCGAATGGATGTCGCATCTTTCGAAAAGTTCCTTCGTATAGCGGAAAAGAGCTCCCTCGCTGGGCTCGCTGCCAAACCTATCCAAGAGAAATCTCATGCCAGGCTCGAATGACATGGTGTTGAGAATTGAGATACGGGTGCGTTTCGAACTCTCTCGTGTCCATCTCTCGGCATCGCTCTCGACGTGTTGCTTCCGCAGTATGAAGAGATGGTCTTGCAGAATTTCGCACGACATGATGCTGCCCTTGATTGCATCGAGCACTCGCAGTTCTTCACCCGTTGCAGATCCCAGGATGTGTTTGTAGTCCAGATCGTGTCGTATCTCAGCCCAAGCGTCCATCAGCACAGTACGAACTTGGATCTCAACTTGTTCGTTATAATAACCTTTTACTCTGGCTCCCTCAAAGGGGTCTCTTCGTAGACGGATGGAATAATGGTCCGCCTCGTAATAGCCCATACGTTCGTCATACGGACGAGTCTCAGGATTCTTCATTCGATATCCACGCTCGCTAAACACCCTTGCAGGTTGTTCCGAGCTGGCCGGAACAACCTCGAAGAGTTCGTGCGACTCGATGAAGGTCTTCACTTGGCTCTTCTGACATGGAAAATAGAGGCACACGCGCACACCCGCGGTATCCCATCGGACGTTCTCGAATGATGCAAGATCTTGACACTTCCCTTGCTTCTGCAGTCGCTCTACCTTACCCCTCAACGACTCCTTCGTTTTAACTCGGTATGTGGATGTCGAATGCACGACTGGATCCTGCTGCTTTAAATGTTTATCCAGCTCGGCTTTAACGAAAAGAGCAAGATCCTCCCAGAACATTGCGCGTTTCGAGAAGTTCTTCGCAATAAACTCTTCCTTAACTTCTTCGAGTTCCGAAGGAGTGCGAGGATGCTCTCCTACGGATGTGTCCATGTTGTGCAGCTCGGTCTGCTTTACATCCGATTTGACTCAATTTGAGGCGTATGACAAAAAGCTTGCTGGTGAGGAATTTGGGCAAGCAATGTAGATTCACTCAGCAGATGGTGGGGTATCGATCTCCGTACGTGCCCCGCACACTCCAGCAAGGCAGATGCAGGCTACCAGTCAGCACCACGTCAAGCCACATGCTTACTGGTCCCAACACAGTAGCCTCCATTGCTTATCCTCAGCCTCTGCGGTCAACCAAATCCTGCTATCATTACACTGCGCCATTCGTCTGATACCTCTAATACGCCGCCCATGTGTGTGTGAACGGCTTTCTCATACACGTTGATCCCCTGGAGTTGGCACTTCTCATGCACTCCTAGCGAGTGTTGCATGATCCTAATTCTGGTTCATTCTGTAACGGTTTGGACCTTGCCTGTGACCGCTCTAGACTAGTACGAGGTGGGATAGCTAATGTGCAACCGGCTATACATGCAGCTTAGCCCACATCACGTAGTCCATTCAGCGCAGTCTTCCGGTTAAGATCTACCGTCATAAAGTCTCTATGAGCTCGAGCTATTTTCACCGTGTTGTTGCACAGAGCCGGCGAAACCCTTGTCTCTCCGACCTCTGCGAATTTCTCCAACAGCCAACTCGAGCCCACAACCAGTCTCGCACAGTATGTATAGACTTCTTCGAACAGCCTGTGCCTGTAACCCAGCGAGAGATCTTCGCAAACGATTTTGGCCATGAGCTGCGGAAACCAATAAATCAGCCAGAACTCTTAGCGCCCGATCACAGGGGCCGAATATTGATCATTGAAGATATCTCTAAACCTGCTTTAGAAGAGTTAGGATCTTTCTTCGATATTGACCCTTGGTTCTTTGCTTCCTACGTGCATCAAACGTGGCGCAAAACCAGCACACAGAGTCCTGCAAACTGCTCTCTGCCTTCGCGCGAGAAGAAACAGAATTTTCTGCCGCTGCATTACCATAGGATTGTAGCTTTGCAACAGAAAGATACGACTCTGAGATCAGTAACGCGTAATACAAACCAGCAACGCAAGGCAGTCATACTTCCGTCGCTAGGTGGAGAACGTATTGGCTTGGTGCAGCATAGTGCTTCAGTCATGTTAATAAATCCTCCTGGGCAGATTTGGACCGGTTCGTCGAGTCAATCAACGAGATGCTTGTACTCCCGCTAAAACCATATACAGCCATCATCCTCGTCGACCCGCCCATCAAAAACAACTACATCCCATCAAAACGAAATAGTCGGCTCCCGCCGAACCTAGATTCAAAAGCTTTCCTTGGCGGATATGAAGATTTCTCTGATATTAAATTTCCAGTCACTCCACGCGATACTGGAAATCACCACCATGTAGCTCAAGCATCTGATCGAGCGATGCTTGACGAGCTCGTCTACTACTGGACACACCAACGTCCTCAAGTCTTCGACCCTTCCGCCCCAGCGCTCCAGCACTTCTCCTACTACCCTCTTAAGATCGTCGCTGCCGAATGGGTAAACTACATCGCCGCCCTAGGCCTCAGTCTACGCGAATATGAACTTCGCACTTCGTTAACGGGCAACCTAGTTGCTGAGCTGGAATCTCTCAACACGAACCTCCGAATCCTACAGGGCTGGCGCCGCCGCATTCTCTCGACACAAGCTAAATTGCAGCGCAACATGCGCTTTATCAGAACGCGCTCAAATAGTTCTTCTACTGAGGACTGGAAAGATCTGTTAGAAGATTACGAGTTCTTGGCAACCGAAGTGGCGAATTATGGCGAGAAACTGGAGGCTATGGTACCACTTGTCACATCTGCGGCTGCGCTAATTGAGAGTCGAAGAGCGTTGACGGAGACGGAAAACGTGACGCGGCTCACTGCGTTGGCGGTGATTTTTATCCCACTGAGTTATGTAGCGGCACTGTTCAGTATGGCAGACGCTTTTGCTCCAGGGGGGCAGTTGTTTTGGGTGTACTTTGTGACAGCAGTGCCTCTGGCAGTAGGAGTAGGAGTTGTTGCCAAGGTGGATGTGGTGGCTGTCGTGAGAAAGTCTTGGGAGAGTGTGAGACGATGGATGAGATCCTATGGTTCTCGGGTCGTGTCTCCATGAACAGTCGGATATGGTCAGCCTCGTTCGTATGGTATCTCTGCAATCGATACGGTGAATTTATTAGTTCTCGCCCTGAACGATCTCTTCATAACTTGGGAGCGGAGAGACTGAAATAAAGAATTCATATAATGTTCGTAAATGCTAAATATATACCATCATCCCGCCGTGTAGTGTGGTCGCACCCAATCAAACAGCGAATCTTACATCCTATGACGTAGTCGTGATCTTGGCTTGGACTGCAACTTGCAGAATTGAACTTGGCGCAGCAGTGCAACGTCAAGATTCTCAAAGCTCAGGTTACCTTCAGCTCCCTAGGACAGGGTGTCAGCTTTCTCTCCATCGCATCCTAGTATAGATCCCTCAAATCATGCCACGCCGTCCAGAAGAGCCGTCAAGGACAGGATATCTAGCACCTCAGCTACGACATCTGATTACCAGCGTCTTGAAGATATGGACCGCCATAGCTCTAGGTGTAAAGTGGATCGCACTGTATGGTTCCTTCATCCTGTTGTATCTCCTTCGCCCCGTACGGAAAGAGAACCGAAGCGACGCTGAGCATGACCGCGATACTGGCCCAGCTGCATCACAGCACTCTTGGATCATCACTAGACTTTCGAGGATGCCATTCACCAAACCATATTCTTTCTGGGTGCCACTACTCAGCACAACGTTGATAACTGTTTTCTCCTTCCACATGCTGGACAGCCACTACACGCCCTTCGACAACACGAATGACTTCGCTACGGCGTGTCCCGAGGATGACCGTAGAACACAAACAAGCGCTTTCGTCAGACTCTTCGCCGCCACTGTGACCACCATGTGCATTCATGGCCATCTTAGCTCCCTTACAGGCTCGGATGCCTGGAGACGCGAATTCTTTCGCATGCTCGAAGTGCTCGTCAACCCCTTGGCCTCTCTTTTCGCCATGGCAGATGCTGTATGGTACGAGATTGCGGGCTCGTTGCAGGCTACGCGGGACTCCTGGGATGAAAAGTCAAGCATCAGATATAGGTTGGCTTGCATGTGCCGGATACGTATCGACACTGGTCAAAAGACGGACGCCATGAGCCCCGCCCCATATCTCATGTTCATCAATCCACGCCACGTCAGCAGCAAGTTACTGGAAAGAGACTTGAAATGGTCGGGACGTGTGCTTTTCCTAGTCATACTGTTTGCGCAGTATGTCCAAGCGGCCGTCCTGCTTTCACGTCGCATCATCACCTATGCAGATGCTACCGTCGATTGCGCAATGATGCTCATGACCATCTCGGGCCTCGCTGCACTCACAAAATCCCTGGTCGTATCTCTCATCAATATGAAATGGATGCTCGCGTCCGATTCTTTCTCGCCCTGCACAGCACGCGCTTGCTCGCTTCAACCTTGCAGAACCCTCAAGACAGAATCCGATCTGCCTGACAAACCATTCCAGATAGTCTTGTTTGGCTGCAGTATCTCCGCTCTTCCGCGAGCCGTGCTACACGCACTTGCTGGTGCGAATTTGCAGCTGTTGCTTTTGACGCACAGGGCGTTCTCTTTGCGTTCAGTATTGAGCCTGACGATGTCCACGAAGTGGTTCCATGACTTCCTTATACTGCTAGTAATTTGTGCCGATTCTTGTAGAGGGCTGTACACGAAAAACGATGAAGACGAATCGCCACGAAACAATGAGGCGGACACTGCGCCGGTTGATAATACCCCACCCAAAGAAGTAACTACGGATGACGGCTGTTTCACCTCCACACTTTTTGGCGTAGGCACATGGATATTCTTGTTCTTTCATGGGCTAGGTGCTATCGTACTGGGGCTCGGCATGGCGGCGTTACAGTTGGGCAGACTCTTTGCCCCCAGTATACTAATGTTTCTTGAGATTGTGCGCGAAACGAGAAGATGGGACGCTTGGGATCCATCAAACCCATGTCTGGAGCTATGGAAAGACAACCTCGAAGATGAACTATGGTGGTTTTGAGAAAAGCCCGCTACAGCCGAACCATATTTCACACCTCCCAGCATGCGAATATCAGCTCGTGGGAGTCTGGCATTCAACATCAACTATATGATCCCCCTCCACTATATGCATTCGGAAAACGGTTCATTATTGCAATGGCTGGAACCTTGCAACATTCGAAGCGTAGGATGTTCTCCCGCACCATCGCAGTAAGCTGAATTTGTGCATTGTCTCGTGGTATCCCAGTTAGGTCCAGAATTCAACCAGAAGATGCCTGGATATTTAGGAAGTCACCGGGGTGAATGCGCCTTAGTTTCACTATTTCTGGACTCAATGTTACAGTTCAGCATATAGCCTCCCAACACCAGTCAACTTCCTTCCATCACTCCCCTCACAATCTTCACTCATCTCACAGAAATCGTTCTTCTTCCCCACCCAGGGCCCAACCGTCTTTCCCTGCCCGTTACCAAAGTATGCATACCGCTCAACCCATTCACACCCATCCAGCCACGGCAACGCTTCTTTCATAAACGCCTCTACATCCTGCTCGCTGACCTCGCCATTCCCCATCGTAGAACATGCAAACTCATTAACCCACAGAGGCAGTTTATAAGTAGTATGCATATCCTCAAGGTATGTCTTGAAATCTGTAAACCGTGGGCCGTACCAATGTACGACCAGAAAGTCTACCTGAGCATCACCCTCCAGCTGCCCAAAAAACCGGTCAAGCCACGGTTTACTCCTTCCTACGTCACTGCTCACCCCAGGACTGCCCAGCTTAAGTCCGAATTTGCTCTTCGCTGGTAGAACAACCTGTCTCCACAACTTGACTGCTTCTTCAACGCTTAAATTCGCTTGATCCGGTATCTCAGGCTCGTTGAACCCCAGTAAGTAACTGACATTCGCTTTTTTGTTGCCGATGATGTCGGAGAGGAATGGCATTATATCTTTTGCTTGTGCAGCGGTGCGCACACAGGGTACCCATTCTATGGAGCCGGGAAGTCCCGGTGGAACCCAGAGCTCCCAATTGAAGAGCCAAGTTATCCTATCACAAGAGGTGTAAACGGGGAAGTGGGATGCCGGGTAGTCCCATGGCCAGCCAAGACCGCGTTTCGAGGGCATGCTTAGCAGGTTGTCGCCGCCTAAGCAACGACACAGCAGAAAAATGCTGGTACAAGCTATGAAGGATAAACTTAGTGATAGAAGCCACAGGCGCAAGCAAACAAGAATCTGCTTTACTAAATTATCATTCACAGAGCGCTATCGTGTTTGGATAAAGAACTTGGCGCGGTTGAAGCGAGATGGGTGGACGGATGATGACACTTGGAGTTGCGGACTTGAAGGGTCTACGAGCGGATCACAGGCGCCAAGCAAAAGTGAAGCTCACGGCTTCGCACCACGAACGCCGACCTGCACCAACGCAACCGCTTTCCACCTCGATTGTCAACGCGTAGGCCACGAGACATTGTACGAATAAACCCTGAGTTATCTCTTCCAATCGCCGAATACTCCACGCATCGATCGGCTTCGTGCACCCCGCCAACTTCGCAATGGCTATCTTGGGAACGGCGCTGAACGGCATCGGCGCGCTCTTCCTCACACATGCGTACGTACACATGTAGCCCACATGGGATCATCTCCAGATCGAGGGACCCATGAGTATTACTACCTCCGTCATGACGACAATTAACCATCACCAGCGTCTACTCCACCCACGAACACACCGCAACCTTTGCCTCAACACCCCTCCCGCTCGACATTTCGCTCGAACTCCTCACATCCATTCTCCTCCTATCCCTCGGCATCGTCATATCTTTTGCGCCGTTGAAACCGATACAATACGCACAATGGGCGGGCCAACTCTCGAGACAAGGACGACACGGAGAGGGACAGTACACAAAAGAGGGCGAAGAGATCTTGAGCGAAGGCGATCCTTATGCATTCTTGGGGCTAGATGGTGGAATCGCCGGGAAAGGCGAAGGTAGGAGGGGCTTCTGGGATGTCAAAGGGAAGAAGAAAGAATACGAGGAATGGGTTAGGCAGGGGGGCAAACAGTAGATGTGTGCGGACAGGGAGGGTCGATATGGGTTAAGAGGCCCGATGGGAAATGGGAAGTATGGAGCACAAGCGATGTGCATTCAGCTTGCTTGTCAAGTGTGCACGCCATCACGAAGCGATTAGGATTCGATACCAAAGACGATTGTGTGTCGACTAACGTTGCTTCCATCGTACATCGCCCAAATGCCCTGCCCAGATACTGTATACTGTTTGCGGAGAAAGACCAGAATCCCAAACGCCATGCTTGAACGAACAAAACCAAGCAATTGCTAACAATCTGTTCTCTCGGACCCTTCCTCCATTTCCCGTCTCTTACGCGTCGCTCGTCAGCTTCTCCACCTGACTACCCCCACAGTTGTTAACCCTACAAGTCCAACACTCATTCCCCTCCATTTCCTTCCCAATCGCTGCAACATCCGCACTCCTCCTCCTAGGCCCCACCTCATCCCCGTTGACATCGACACCACTAACCCACCAAATCCCCGCCGCGATAATCCTAGCAACAACCTCCACCTCCTCCTCATCCCTCGGTGCATAAATCAGCATAAACTCTCTCGGAACAAACTTTCTACACCAACCCCCCCTCGCCAACGGATGTCTCTCCCCCCACCCTTTCTCAATCATAAGATTGGCATCGGCAGGATGCAAAGTCATATGCATAGACCCATCACTCGGGTGTGCATGACAAATTTCCCCTCCACACGTCCTCGTAATTGGCACACTAGTAAACAACCCCGAGCTATGCTTCTCAAAACAACTCGTTCGTTCCAGTAGCTGGTTGCGGGGGTCCGCCGCAAGGCCCTTGATCTTGCTTACCAGACAACTGTAGACAGCCTCTCCACTCTTCTGCGTCTGCTGCCGCTGTGGCGCAATACCTCGAATCAACGGCTTTGGCCCTTTCCTTCCTGGCAACGCATCGGCATCTACGAAATACCCTTTTTGCGGCCGGAAGTGCGGTGGTATCGCAATTGGGCGGAGGGGGTTGCGTAGGCAGATTAGCGACAAGAGTTTGATCTTCAGGTAGCCTAGGGGTGTTGCTGGCGTGCCGCCGGGGCCAAGGGAGAGGAAGGCGCAGTAGTCGGCATGGATGTAGATGGCTGTTATGAGGGGGAGAGTGAGCGTTAGGGTTGCGATGAGCATGTGCAGGTGTGTTTCCGTGAACATGCTTGACTGGGGTGGGGGTATGGTGGGTTGTTGAAAGGCTGGGAGGAGGTCCGCTGTTGTGAGGTTGTTTGTATCGAGCATGCCGGCTTTCCAGGTGATTGTGGTAAACGGCAAGTACTTGGAGACGTTGAGGTAGAAATGAGAACCAGTACGGAGGTTCTTACAGTCCTCTTATGGATACAGTACCTCTTGACAAGAGGATACGCAAGGAACAACAGCTCCGTGGCCCCAGTAGGAAGGGGAGGTATCCCCGCAAGGAAGGTCGGTGTACCACGCAAACGCAGGGTCCGCGGAAACTAGAAAAATGACGTTGGATTGATACAATAAAGAAAGCTACTCCATCAATCTCAACAAACAACGTCAACTTTTGGTGATAGTAAAACTATGAAATTGCGAAGGCCAGGAGCCTCAATGCTAATTGTGACATTCATCATACGCCAGGGCACACACGACCCTTTTTATAAGCCCATTCCAAGTTGCTTGAGCCACGCCCATCCGCAGCGCGCGACGTCAAGCTCTCGTACCCCGTGGTCCCGACCGTCCACGTGCCTAGTCCTGCATCCGGTTAGTACGGACTCCGTTTGTGGGCCCCCGGGGTTTAGTGGCCGTCGCGCTAGGGTACTCATTGGTCCACCTCACGCGTGCCTGTGACGTTGAACCTAAATCAGTTGCTTGCTTTTCGCTTCGCTTTCCTCTAGCCTTTTCTCCACACTGACAGCGCTCCTTCGTCACTGTGTCGTGGGTGCTCGTTTATACGCGAAGGCCTGGGCTTTCGTGTTGGGTGTATGTCTGGCTTGATGGAGGAGGGAAAGGGCGGGGAGCGGTATCCTAGGTGGTGAGGAGTGAGGGGATGCTGAGGTCAGCTGCGTTCACGTGGTCTTGTGCATGCTTGGTTCCGAATACGCGGCAGCTTGGAGCTGACTCTGAGACGCAGATGGCTTCGTGTGTGTTCTCCTTCGTCAAAACATATCTTTGTCGTGTCGGTATTGCTGCTTGGATTGGCTGTACCTCAACAAGCTATGGCCAACGGCTTGGTGTCTCGATATTTGACGAGCGAACCAGAACCTTTCCAGAATGAGATGATGACCAGGCACCTCCCTAGCTTTGCAGCATCGATACCCGCTAGTTCACGATAGCTGGTGTTGGCGTTGTTCAAGGGCACCGTGCAGCATGCAGTGTGATTGGAGGAGCGGTGATGCGTGGCGCGCTGTGAGCTCTTTGCTTTATCGCCGAGCCCGGAACCTGGATTCTCGAACGCGACTGAGATGGCACGAGTACTAGCTCTTAATCGAACAAAGAAGATTCCCTCTCGACATATGCTCGCAGCTACAAATCTCAGGGCCGCGTGAGCAACCACATATCTCTCTCGCACTCACACATACGCGTTCATATCGCATCAGCCTAAGCACTAGGATCAGTCCTGTGTAAGAAGAGAGTAGTTTGGTCTCAAAACAACGAAAGTAATCTTGGAAGACTTCTCGATTTCTGCAAGATAGTGGTATCTGAGCTTGGATCGAAGCATGATACGAATCGGAATCCACATTCAGCTTTGAACACAGCTTCCAATTCAGCCTGAGAACAGCGACAGTATGCCATCAGGCGATGCCACGCCGGAGTCGGTGCTGAAAGCGAATGGGGCATTCTGAGACATGACGAGCCTCCAACACACTGCGTTGCCTGATTTTGACCAATCTCCTGTCCACAGCCGTCGCTCTCTCAATCATCTTCCGACTGTCCCCCTCCCTCAGCCACATTTCCAATGTTTAAAAGTCGTCGACACTGTTGAAATTGGACAACACACGAGTCAAACCATCCGTCCTACCAATCTTAACATCGAAGCCACAGAGAGTACGCCCCCATTCCTTGACAGTTTGTATGGGAAATCCCTTTTCCATGATTATGGAAAGTCCAGTGATATTTGCAATAGTCCTGGTAATAATATTAACAGCAAGCAAGTTCTTGAAATGCTGAGCGTCCATTTCTTCAAAGAAAGATTTCAGGAAGTTCAGGTCGTCAGAGTGCGAGATGAAGTTCCCATCCACACCACAAATGGCATGCCGCTCAAACCATGTAATCTCAAGTAGAGGGTACTGGCGCAGAACAGATATGGCTGGGAGTAGATCGAACGAGTAACGAAATCCGCACCACATCACCACTTCGACGTGGCAAGGAATATCCTTCAGAGCCGGGGTGGGGTAGCGAACAAAGAAGTAATTCAGGAAGTCGTCAAGCTCTTGAGCCGTCTCGAGCCTGATACTATCCCGAAGTGTAAATAATGTTCCAAACTCAGAGTGAATTTGCTTATGGACGCAAGCTAGGTTGATGGCGTCTTGGACTGATGGCTCGAGATCGATGAAGTGCTCGTAGATAGCGTTGCGCAGCTCTGTAGTCTCGTATCAGCTTGCAAGAACTGGGTATTGTGATCGATAGAGCAAGCACCTCCAGAGAAGTCGAAGAACGAGGGACCGCCGCTGAGGCTTCTGGCACTTTGATCATTAGTATAAGCTCATTAAGACTCGTGTATAGACAAGACTTACTTGACTGCCATGGTATTCTTGTGAAGTTATCCTTCGATACTCGTGTAGTACTTAGGGAAGCAGGTAGGAAAGACGGACGGTGAGTGTCGTAAACAGCTAAGCTATTGATACGGGCGGGAGCGTTTGTCAGGGTCCGTGCCAAGGCCGCGCTAAAAAGTCGAGGTGAGTGAGAGTGAGGAAGGAAGAGGACTAAAGATGGAAGATGGTATCAACTAAATTCTCCGAGAAGCAAGTAAGATCAATCAAACTTGCGCCGCTAGGATCGCTTTCACATGATGGAACAAAACTTTGGAATCATAATAGTTCGTTATGTAGTGTGTACACTCACTATCTGCAAATCTTTTGAGATCAATAAGCTCCTTCCCTCTTCTCATACTCACTTCCCATAACAGTAGCCACGCTCTTCATTCCACTCCAAATCTCCGCATCAACCTCCAACTCCAATCCATCCACCTTCGTACTTCCACCATCCAGGCCCCAAAGACTGACGCCCAAGTAATTGGTACCGTTGTAATTCAAGATACCCTCTGTAACAGGGAACTTGACCTGCGGGCCCACATTACTAACGTACTTGCCGTACTGCCAGCCGTTGACGTAGAGCTGGACGCGGTAGGCGGGGACGCTGGAACCAGAAGAAGAGTTGCTGGAAGAAGTGCCGTTTGTGAAGGTGAAACTGAGGGGGATGTCGTAGCCAGAAGGCATGTTGAGATCGAATTCAGTGGCGAAGAAACCAATGCCTGGGGCGGAGATGCCGTCGGCAACTGGGCCGGCGGAGGCTTGCCATTTGGCGTCTGTTGCTGTGAGAGCACCGGGGAGGTGTAGACCCTGGCGTTCAACGTACAGACCGCCTTCGTTGAGGGGACCTCGAGAAATATCGCGGTAGTCTTCTCCACCGAGATTACCAGTGAGCTTCCAGGCAATATCGGAGGCGTCGTGGCCAGATAGCTTGTAATCCAGGATACCACGCGGGTTCTTCATGGTTTCAGTTCCAATGGTCCAGTTCTCGTCTAGGCCTTGGTTGTCGACGACGACCGTGATGGTGTATGTCTTACCCTTGGTCAGATTGGGCATGGTGAACGTGGTGTTGCCGTTCATAGCTGCGTCGTAACCACGCCATGAGCCGAGGAATTGATCGCCAATCCACGCAGAGGAACCGAATGCAGAACCACCTTGCGTGGAAAGGTAGAATGTTGATTCGTTTCCAGATGCGGTGAATGTGCCGCGGAAGAGCAGAGTACCGGTGTGGTAACCGTAGTCGGAGCTGTATAGCGACACAGGTGTAGTCAAGGGACGCAGAGAGTTGTATGTCTTCTTCAGGTCGGCTGCAGTCCACTCGCTGTCGTCGTATCCGGGTTGGATCTCAGGTAGTGAGTCGACGAATTTCCATTCCAGTTCGCTGAGTTTGGGGATGCTGATGTCCGGTTTGGTAAACTCAATGCTGGCGGATAAGGTTCCTTGTTCGGAAGTGGTGAAGTCAATGTCCTTTCCGTTGAAAGTCATCTTAGACACTTCTGATGATGCGCCACCAATGACTTCGACGGTAGTTGTAGCGTTAAGATCACCAACGAGGGCAATGGTGTCGCCAGTAACCTTGGCAGTGCGCATTAGGTACCCGGCCTTGACAATGACAGGGTTAGAAGAGTCATGAGGTGCTTGGTCAATAGCCCAGTAGTTGAAGGCCTCGCCACGATCGAGCATGTAGACGTAGACGGGGCTATCAGCTCCAACCTTCGCGATCTTTCTGGTACCATCGACCTTGAAGTTCAGGATTGTGGTACCCTTAGCAGTAGTGCTCGCGACATCGCCCTCGACAACCTCCAGTCCGGTGACATCGAGAGCCAGTTCGTGAGTCTCTCCTGCACCACCGTAGACGACTAGAACAGTCTTGTCGTCGTACTTGTGCCAAGTAAATACTTCAGCAGTAGAGTAGACCAGAGTGGCACCGCCGATGTCGTAGTCGCTAACATGGACCTTGGAATCACGGCCGTTCAACGTAAGGGAAGTGCCGTTCATCTGAGGAACAGTGATATTTCCGAAGACAGAGGTCGTAACGTGAAGCTTGTAGGTCGTTGATTCCAACGAGTTGTACTTGGAGTGCCTCAGAAAGTAGAATGTAGTCTTCTCGTTGGTGGCAGGAGTGACGCTCAAATCGGTGCTAGTTGTCCAGGTGGAGTTTGAAGCATTGCCGCGCGCAGCAGTGAGATACGCAGGGCTCACCTTGAGGAAGTTGGCCTGGAGTTTAAGCTCAGAATACTTCTCGCGGTCAACTTGACGGTCTTCCTTGATTGGCGCAGCGTAGTCGTAGCTAGTGTATCCACCAGGGTGACCAAGGTTACCCCAGTTGGTTCCACCGTAGGTCATGTACAAGTTCAAGATCGTAACACCAAAGCTGTACAGTTGCTTGTAGAATACGCGGTTGAACTCCGCGCCGACCAGAATACCGCACTTGTCGAACCCTGGTCCACCCCAGGGGTCGAAGCTGCCGGACTGGAACTCAACAATGGAGTATGGGGTAGTAGGGCTCTGCTGCTCGTGAAGCTGATGCCAGTTCGTTGGAAGGTTGCCATCCGGCCATGTGGTCGGGTTGGCACAGTCAAATCCAAGAGGATAGCCATCATGGCCGTAAATGTCAACAGCTGCAGGTTGACCGGGTGCGTTGTTTCCCTTTGCGGAGGCGTCGTTGCTGATCAAAGGTACAACGATACCGGCGTCGCGAATCTGATCTTCAACGTATTGCATGTAGACTGGATCCGGGAAAGGCTTGATGGCGGAAGTAGCTTGCGTGTACTCGTTTTCTGGCTGGATAAGGATGATAGGGCCGCCCTCAGTGATTTGCGCCGGCTTGATCTTCGCCAGCACATTCTTCATGTAGTTGTCGGTCGCTTCCAGGAAATCGGGAGCGCGCGTTCTCAGTGTGCCGTTAACCCTCTGAATCCATCCGGGGAAACCTCCACCAGATACTTCAGCATTGATGTAAGGTCCCGGTCTAGCAAGGAGATAGATGCCAGCCTCCTGCGCAGCGTCGAAGAAAGGTTGTAGGTCAAAGACACCTTCTTCGCGGTAGACACCGGGCTTGCCCTCAAGCAGAGCCCAGTCGACATAGAAGGAAACGCCGTTGTAACCAAGAGCCTTGATCTTCTGGAAAAGGTCGGCGTAAAGGTCAGGAACTGGTAGTCTGTACGGGTGAACTTCGCCAGAGTACAGGAAGATGCGTTCTCCATGAACGAAGAGCGAGTCCTCGTCCCAGGTGACCTACAGACATGGTTAGTCACGACCAATTTCAGATCGACATTTGAACCTTGCCACTTACGATATCTTGTAAAGCCTCCCTCCTATACGGCTTGATGAATTCCTTGGGCGAATATCCTACAGCCCTAGCCGCACTCTCGACAGCAAAACACCCGAGCGCGACCGCGCCACCAAGCTTCAGAAAGCTCTTCATGTTGACCAGTATGCGGAACCAAAGGTCAAGTTGCTTGTGGAGTTGAGCAAATCCGCGGGAAAGCAAGCAATATAAACAAATTTCCCCAGCCTCCGAAGCTTTTCATGGTTTGCATGTAGCCGACCGGGATCTTTACTCGTTCCCGTCGGACGATGACAGCATCTCGTGCCATCACGTTCCGAGCGCATTTGCCTTTGTTCCCCCTGTTCCCCCAGTAACTTTTCCCCGGTTTACCCCCATGTTGGGCATGCCAAAGCCGTGCCATTTCAGCCGGATGAGTAACCAGGTCACGCAAGATCGACCAGGTTGACCGGATGAGTAGCCGTAGTGATACTAGTTCAACCAGCATCGAAATACGCAAGTACCGATTCCACCAATATCGCTGCATGGAAGCTCGTTAAAAGTCTTTAGTGCACGTATATGCCCGCATCTCGGATGGCGCAGGCGGGGAAGTATGTCCGATGAGCGCCATGACCGTTGCCCAGGCGGTGCAGAGTGTTGACGATCAGTGGGGTTAGCGCTGGGGTTAATGCTTGACGTCCTAGCCTCTTCGCCGTGGATGCTTGCGGAAGCTTGGGTCAAGTTCGTCGACAATCTGTTCCGCCCCTACTTTGGGCAAGGCATCCGCACCGTGATGACGACGGACATCGGCATAATAGATATTGACTCGATTGTCGGTTCTTGGAGCAGGAAAGGTGCGGATGGCATGACTAGTGTGGGGATGGTAACGGGCTGAGATGATGATACGAATGTGGAGAGATTTACCGAGGTACATTGATTTTAGGCTGACGTAACAAGGGTCTGATCATTGCGAAAAGCAAGTGCGCGCATACTCCATAAGTAGAATCGTACTATTGTTTTCTTGCTATCGAGAAGCTCCTGTAGGGGCCTCGTGTAAGGCAAGGAGTGATGAATCTGAAATAAGACTACCCTTCTTCAATTAACGTACCTGGGAGCATGAAATCATGAAGTACCTATCCTAATTCAACGAGCGTGCCACCTAACCATCTGACATTAGTGAACGCGCACACAGAGTACACCGTGCGGTAGTCGGTTACTGATCTATTGCCCAAGGTACGTTCATATGTTGTATCATACGTGCATATGCATTTGTATCGCTCAAAGCAACCAAGCCAACGATTTGCCCACGACCATCTCTACGCACACTGCAACGTCGCGCATGTTACTGCATGCCGTCTCAAAAAACAATTGCAAGACAACGACTGCCTATAACCCAAGAACTCCTGTGCATGGTTTCCTGTCGCCATGGAAAGCTGGCACCCAAATAAGACCACCACTAAGAATTGCGCCTCAGAACCTAAGATGAGAAACTTGAGAACAAAAGGCTGATCAGAAATGCTAAAAGCCGAGCATCGCAAAAGAAAAATCTACCAATTCGTCAATGCTGGGCCGCCTCAACCCCGTTTACTGCGGCGGATACGACGAGAAATTCGGCGCACCATTTGGATAATAGTTCGCGTTACCGCCAACAGTCTGGAAATTGGAAAAGTCCATAGTCGTCGACCAGTCATAAGCCTGATCATTATCACTGATCATGGCTGGTCCAGCCCAGCTGTTTGTGAAAGTTTGGGCCCCGTCAATCTCCATTGCCATCCTAGCCGCATGCAATTCACGTGGTCTTGCTGTCTGCCAATCCGAGTAAACAGCATGTATTGGAACGGATGCAGTGCCTGACAAGTGATCTTGATTGGGGCCGGTCTCGAAGCTGGCTCGTGCTGTAGGTATGGTGTGCTGAGGTGGGTTACCGTACTGATATGATGGGTAGTTTGGTGGTGAAGTGTGTGCTCCGGAACGTAAAGCGGTGTTTGAATCATAAGACGGCGTATTCGTCTGATGCGTATATGTAGGTGCATGAGTAGGTGGAGATGTCTGGACCCCATTTCGATTGACGGCGGTGAAGGAATTTTGTAATACAGGAAGCTGGCTAGATCTTTCATCAGGCATTCCTTGCTTTTCATGCTTGACTGGAGCGGTACTGGCGGGCAAGATACGTTCTGCAGAGTCCTCATCATGCGTCAATCTAACATCTGCAAGATCTTTATCTTTGTTGGACCATTGGCTGTTGTTGTCGTTTGAGATGTCGCCGAACTGCTTGTGAGACTTTTCGAAGAATTGTGCGTAGTCTTTTAGTCCACCACTAGCGATACCATCGCTAGAGTTGCTCTTCGGAGAATCGTCAATTTGCCCAGTAAGCTCTCTATACTTCTTCTTTTCACGACGATAATATCGTTGCCATTCAGCGAGTTGAACAAGCCACGAGCGAGCCATCTTGAAGCGCCTCAGAATACGGAGTAGAAAGCCGTTCGCAATGTCGTGGGCTCTAGGACTCAAACGGGATGACAGAACGCTGTCGGGATCCATGTGAGGAAAATAGTGGCAGTAGATAGCTGGACTTGTTAGCGATAACCAACAAAAGGGCCTAGAATGTACTTACTGCCTATTCCTACTGCAAAACAAGAAAAGGCTACCGTAGGAGTTTGAATCAGATTACTATGAACTCTCGAAGTTTCAATGGTATGGAGCAGATGCGTAAAATCCAAGCAGGCTTTCCAACAATCTTTAGCTTGCTTTATCCAGTACTCCGGATCTGGAGGTTTCTCGTCGATCAGTGGCTCATCCAATGGGCCGCGAGGATACGCCAACGTCCATGGTGACGTAGGCATATACTCTCTGTAAAGCCAAACGAAACACAACGTGTACATGGCGTGTATCGATACGTACTTTCCAGGTTTGTTGTATATACGGTCCTCAGTGTTGTCTTGGGTTAGCTGGAGATGGTCAGGTAGGTCGCGCTTCAGCTGCTTGAGTTTATCCTCCAACTTCTTGAAACCTGTCGTTGAACGCCATGGCGGAGTTTTGCCTTCTTGTCTATGCACTGTCAGCGAGACGTCTCAGGGAAGTTTCTTACATGGCGCATACCTTCGGCCCCGTTTGCAGGACCATTGCGACACTTCGCCGAAGATTACGACAGCTTTGATGTACCAGGTGAGTTCTGCCTCGTGTTCACCTATCTCCCACTTGCCCCCGTTCAGCGGATCAGCTTGATCAGCACCATTCTGCTCGTTGCGACGGCACTCAGTATGCTCATTCCACCTCTTCCTCCGTTCTTCATATGCAGCATCATCTTCGCCCAAAAGTCTTGTCCGTGCTTTCCTTCCGAAGTTGAACGCGCCATCGCTACAAACAAGTTGCGTTCTTTGAAGTTGGTCAGGCGTGAGCATCCTTGGCCGATCCTCTCCCCAGCTCAGATAGCAATCCATAAGACAACAACTCCAAAATGTCCGTCGCTGAGTTTCGCGCAGGATGAATTGATCCTTCTCGGAAAGGCCCTTCTCACTGTCTTTCAATGGTGCAGGTAGCCCCTTGTCATCGACGTCTAAATGTGGATAGCCCAGGACTATGGCGCATCTGATAGCAAGACCGATCTTAATCCAGCCTTCGGTACCTTGCAGGTTGGTCCACTCGTAGTAGCCCAGCATGAGCAGTGTTTGGATCTTCTCGAGAGTTGGGAAGCCGAAGGCTTCCGTACCCATCTGCGTACGCGTAGCCTGGGCATAAAACTCGGCGGTCTTGGTAGGGTCATTTCCAGTCTGTTGTACGAGCTTCTCGTGGAAGCGAGCAGTCTGAGTAAGGAAGGCTAGTAATAAGGGGGGATATAGTTGAGGCGATTGAGTCTTGGTTGGAGTTTTGGCATCAGACGGGCTGTCGGTTGATTGCGGTTGCTGAACTGAGCTCAAGAAAGTTCTCTTGTGTAAGAAGGGAAAGTCAGTAGAGAAGTGCTTGTCGTAGATATCGAACAACTCCTCCCAGACTTGGGGCGTAAGTAAAGGCGACTGGAGAGCATCCTCATATGTACCCAGCCCTTCTACTGAGCGCTGTGCTGTAGTTGATGAGGGTGCTAGCAGCTTGCGCCGCTTCTTGGGCGGGGCCTGGGAGTGTCAGCACTAGCTCACGTGACTTGGACCAGCACATGTATTCGGCGATGGATATATGCAAGCACAACGGCTTTTGGAGCATTCAGAGGGACGGCTTACATCGAAATCGGCAGTGCTTTCACGGCGCACCGATCCGGTAGTGCTTGCGACAGCTGCGTGGTCCCAGGTGCAGTCTCGGTTGGTGTTGGCGCAAGCCTTGCACGTGGTACCTTGACCGGTGTTTTCGCACTTGGTCTTGCTTCGGCGACATCTGGTGCATGCAATCTGCGAGCGCATGCCTCGTTTTGCTGAGGGTTCAGCAATGCCGCCGGCGGCATCAAGAGGTCCAGGAGTCTGCTGCGGAGACGCCTTGACGGTCGATGGTGAAAGTTGGGTTAGGGGAGATTGAAGCTGCTGGTGCTGGCTGGGAGGAGATGGTGGCCGTTGGGGCCCTGGCGGTGGTTGTTGTGGGTAAGCAGGCACTGCAGTTAGCCGCGGTGCATTCTCTCCGGTCATGGGAGGATGCGCGACGGCGCCCAGCTCAGGCGGTGCGCGAATTTTGGCGATGATTCCACGGGGAGTTCAAAAAAAGGTGGGCGACAAAAGATGGCGATGGTTTGAGGCTGCGCGTGTGGTCGAGTCTCTTCGGGTGATGTTGCTGCGATGTGCGGGCCGGAGAGATGGCTATGGTAGCCGGAAACGCCAGTCCAGGGCTGGGGCCGATGATTACCAGAAGACTTGTGTAGATGCAGATGCAGGCAGGCAGTGTTGCGCAATCGTTTCGTACTCCAAGGTCCGGAGCAGCACAATCTGCGGTCGCTCGGATCGTGGTGTTCCAGCGTCGGTGCTGTCTGGCCTCTGATGAACGACGCTGCGGGCACACGGGTATTAACGTTGGACTTTCCCTTCCGACGGGACGAAAGCAACTTGGCGTTGGTCCTTGCAGCACTGCCATAGCATACCTAGGTATTTAAGCGATCGCTTCATCCGACAGACTGCCAGTCACCGCGATCTCTCTGCTGGTCTGCCGTCATGAGCTTATGCTTACCCTTCTAATGTAGGCCACTCGCGACGACTCCCCAGCCATCGGCCGCCGCGCGATTATAGCAACGAGTTTACAGTCTATCGGCGGCCCGGGCAGAACCACTGCTACATCTCCACATCCCGTCTGGTCCGAATCTCGCAAATGCCCTCATCTCCTGCTTGCTCCAGCATGTGAGCTGTCGCACACAGAACAGGCGCTGACACGTGGGCGGGCTTGCATGCAGTAGTAAGGTGTCGCAGAGCCTTGGAGCGCACGCACAAATACGCCCAGTCGATCGCGTCTGGCTGTAAGCCAGCCGCCTCGCCGTCACCTTACTCTAGTCTTCCGGAACCATGCCCATCATCGCCAGCGCATGTCCCCCATGGTGGTATGCAAGGCTCCGAGCGGTGCAACATCTTCACATGATGCGAGCTCTTCGTCTATCTATTGCCCCATCGAGTTGACTACGCATATCGCTTCCTATGATATGATCTGACCGTGTTGGCCGGTAGACGTAGCCTCGTTGTCCTAGTTCCGCGGTCTGGAAGCGGCATCAATCTCGATCACTCGGCCTTAGCATTTGCCTCGTTGCCGGAAGGATCAAGGATCATCAACATGCGCTCGGGCGACTCCGCATCTTAACGACGTTGTAGATGAAAGAGGGTCAGGGATACACGACTACCCATGGTACGCCGCACTTGTCTGTCAGGCCAGATGGGACGTTATGCCCCTCGCCACGGTTAGCGAACTATGTTGCGCATGCGCATGCGACCAAGTTCAGCCTGACATTGATGAGTGAGATGATCTGCAAGCTACCTAATCTGGACTCTGCTTGATCGGTGTAGAATCTTGCGTTATCTGCCATCGGGGGATTAATCTCGCGCCCGTTGCGCCTTTAAAACCGCAGTACATGGAGCTTCCCAGGTGGGTTTGGACACGTGATTTGTCTATACCATGTCTATGCCGGGAAGTGATTAACGTACTTTCCTTGGTTACACAAACTTTGAAGAGTTACCGACTATCTTCAGCCTTATGCATCTGGTATGCCTTTAATCCCTGAATCTTAGGTCCGGAAACTACCACGCCGGTCAACTTCCTCTTCGAGTAAACTCCATGGAAAGCGCTCGGACCGCGTCCAGCCGTCTGGTCCACGGGGGAAGGGCGATCTTGATGACGTGGGTCCAGTCATGTGGTCTTGAGTCGTCCGATGGCAGCGTCGCTTTTCGAAACTGAGTCCTTCGTAATGATGTTGGTAAAAACATGACTGGGAACAGCAAGGAATTTCACAGTGGGCGCCTTCGCCTCGTTCAACTGGGATTCTGATGGAGAGAGGATGACAGAAGAACGCGTGACTGGAGCAGGCTTACTGTGAAAGCGTATATCGTCAAACCGGCAAACTGGATGGCGATGTTTCCGCTTAATTGCAATTAGCTGAATCACAGTACTAAGACGGAACGAAGATATCTACGCCTCGGCGAAGAAGCTCTTGTCAGCGCGGCGAAGTAGACTTGTTTATTACCGATGACGGGAAATTTTTCTGTTACAGCTCATAACACGTCCTTTCTTAGCCGTCACTCATTAAATGACATCCTTCCAAGCATTCACGCCCACATTCGCTCCAAAAAGGTCTCGTAATCGACTCAAATCCTACCACTTCTCAATTGCAGGCCTGAGATCGATCTCCCATGTAAAGTTTGTCTTGGGCTGTGTCTGAAGCGTAGTTAGTATGGAAGTACTTATACACGTAGAAAGTCGACTCACATGCAACCACCAGTAATCATTCGCAATCTACACTTGATTAGCCTTTCCCCTTTTTTACCCATCGAAACAAGTATACTCACCGCGTCGGCACTCAGTTTAGCCTCGGCAGGCATATCCTTCAACCACTCCCTCGTCCTCGGAATGTCAATAACCCCATCGATAATCGCATGCGCAACATGCACGCCCTGAGGACCAAACTCCCTTGCCAAACTCTGGCTTAGCGCTCTTAACGCCCACTTGCCGGTTGAAAAGCTCGCCATCTGCGCATTGCTCTTCACGCTCGCCGTTGCGCCCGTGAAGATGAGACTAGGCGGGTGTTCCGAGCTCCCCACCCCTTTGAGGAGGAGCGGGAGGAAAGATTGCGAGAACAAGATGCCGCCCATGGCAGAAACATCGAGACTAGAGGAGAATGTCTCGGCTGGAATCTCCAAAAACGGCTTCCGCATAAAGGGCCCACTGGCGTTGAAAATTGCTGCTGCAGCGGCGACGTCTTGGCCGAATTCTTGCTTGATGCCTTCGACCGCCTTGGCTAGACTGTCCTTGGACGAGACGTCGGTGCTGATACCGATTGCCTTGCCGCCAGCGCTATTGATTTCCTTGGCAAGGCCCTCGTAGTTCTCTGGTTTACGGGCGAGCAGGACGACGGGGTAGTGAGATGAGAACTTGCGGGCGACGGAGGCGCCAGTTCCAGGGCCAACACCGGCGACGATGGCGATGAGCTTGGAGAGTGGCATTGCTGGTATGGAATTATTCGGCGGTATCGTTGTTGTTGTCGGTGTTGATGTTTGACAATGAGAAGATGGAGTCGAATTGGTATCTGATATGCGACGACCAGGGACCTTGATGAATCGATCTTATTATACTTGTGCACTTTTCGCGCTTCTCGCTCTTACACGCCTCAGTACCTTGGAAATAATGTTTAGTAAACTGGTAAAGTCAATGTTTAGTCAACTGGTAAACTACCAAATGGTGTCATGGCGGTTCCTGATTGCATAACTGCGGAGTTACTAGAGCGCGAGGTGCGTCATGATTAATAAGCACCCCTCTTCCACTTGCTCACTATTCTTAGGTGCGTACTTGCGGTGCATACATATTTTGGACGTAACTTCGTTGATGCATTACTATGATCTTTGATCTATGCAGCTCCCCTGTCTCATGACAACCTCATCTACGCCCTGCCCGCCCTACCTACCTGTATCATCTCCCCAGTAGGTTTGTCGTCGCTCCTAAGAACGGGCCAACTAGCTCCATCCGCCTTGACCAGGGTCATCTCGAGCTTGGTACCCAGTATTCTGAACTTGCTCTCTTCAGGTTTGATAGTCGAGAAGAGGGGAAACTCGGTCTGGTAGCGCTTGCTATCTGTAGTGGGCAAATCGAGTTTGACATGTTGTGGTTGGAAGTCGATGACGGCGGTTGCCTTGTCGATTTTCTTGAGGTAGAGGGAGGCGACGACTGAGGTTGCGGTTTGGTAGTAGTCGTGTCTGTGTGTGTGCATAGTTAGTGACTGGTTTTGGAGGCGGATGTCAGGAAGAGGGAAGGGCATAGGGAACGTACCGAACCGTCTCCAGCTTCTCCTCGCCCTCCTTCTTCTTCCCACTACCGACGAAGAGATGTCTGTCTTTTGTCTTGCACCCCTCGATCTTCATAAACTGGTCAAACTCCATGACCCTCCTCTTACAGCAACTCCACCCCTTGCTGCCCTCGTGGAAGATGGGCGCGCCAGGGTGATGCACACAGCTCTCTCCTTCCCGATTGCCTCCTTTGTGCACAGCGCCGCATCCTTTCCGCCTGCACGTCATGCCCTCCTTGATCTCCAGACTCGGGTCGTCGTCTTCAGACTCTGGCGGCGGTGCGGGCGAAGCCGATGGCTTGGGCGTAGCTTGTGCGGTAGGTAGTCTCGGTGCAGGCGCAGGCAGCGATTCCTCTAGCGATCCGAGGTTGACTTGGGTGCCATTGGGTACGTCTGGGGCCTGGACGGGTTCTGGCTTGGGGGTGTCGTCGACGTCAGAGTGCTTTCCCTTTGTGCAGGGCTCGATTGCGAGGAACTCGTCAAAGGTCAGGACGCGAGGCTTGCAGCATTCCCAGCCTGCATCGTCATGTCAACATGTTCCTGTCTTACTCGGCGTGTACTGGGTTGTGCTGACCTACCTTTCTGCCCCTCATGGAATTTCGGTGGGCCGGGATGGTAAACACACTCCTCGTTGTCGTCGTCGTACGTCTTGCCGCAGCCCTTGTGAACACACTTCTTCGCCATGGTATCGGTTTGTGCAGAAACGCGCCTAACGAGGGGTGAGTGTTGCGATGCCCCAGATTTTGTTCCGCTGTTTCGGAATATTCTGGAAATCAGCCAGAGCGGTCACCGATATCATTGGGGTCCAAGCGCGAGCTTAATCCTGGGCCTTGAGCTTTGCATCTTTGGCGTCACGTCGCGTCCACTCGGTCTTGCCTGTCTGTCTTGTACGCCCAAAGCAGTCGTTACCGCGTGTGTGGTTGTCAACCAGTCGCCAACATGTTCCGCGCCACTTCCCGTCTGCTCGCTTGCCGCATCACCTTCTTCACCCGAACCCCATGCGGCCTGTGCGACACGGCAAAAGCCGTCGTCCAGAATGTCAGGGCGAAAAGACCCTTCGAGTACGAGGAGATAAATGTCATGGACTCCGGCCACGAAAAGTGGAGAAGTCTGTACGAGTTTGACACTCCGGTGGTAAGGAGACCCGGACACCAACGATATAATATTGCCATGCGCAGAGTACCTGAGTGTTCAACTAGATCCACATCGACAAGGCCGAAGCTAAGGAGACGAGCACATCTTCACTGAAGCTTATGCATCGTTTCAAGGAAGACGAAGTAACCAAGGTCATGGACCAAGCAGAGCGATCATGAGGACGACATCGCGTACAAACAACTCTTTTGATACACCTAGCCCCACCATGACTTTTCGCGCCCCGCAACTCCAGATCGTCTCCGACATTCACCTAGAAAATCCCATCACCAATCCGCAGTACTTACACACCAAGCTCAACGTCACCGGCAATGTATTGTTCCTACTTGGGGACATTGGCCTAGTCAAGCACCATGGTCTCTTCGTGTTCCTGCGAAATCTCCTCGACGTGAACCGCAGCTGTCGCATCTTCTACGTCCTAGGCAACCACGAAGCTTACCAGACGACCCTCGAAGATGCCATCGAGAAGATGCGAGAATTCGAGGACATGGCAAGACAAGAATACGCTGGTCGCTTCAGCTTCCTCTTCCGCGACCGGTGTGATCTCAATGAGCAAGTGACAGTACTGGGCTGCACACTCTGGAGTAGCATTCAGCCCGATCAAGCTGCAGAAGTTCGTTCTAGAATGAAAGACTACAACCAAGAACGCGGCATACAAGACTGGACGCCTGAAAGAAGTTGCACAGAACATACCCGCGATGTAGAGTGGCTGAACGAGCAAGTCAGCCACATCCAAGCGACTGAACAGCATAGGAGCATAATCATTGCGACACACCACTGTCCTACAACTGATCCTCGCGCGACTGACCCAAAGCACGCTTCTAGCTCCATGAGTTCTGGTTTCTGCTCCGATTTGTCAATGGAACTATGTTGGACGAGCCCGGCGGTCAAGGTGTGGGCTTTTGGACATACGCATTATAGTTGTGCGTTCAGGAACCATGTCACGGATACGTTGGTCGTATCGAATCAGAAAGATAATGGTGGTATTGTGGGGAGTGGCGAGAGTGCAAAGAGAATGAAGACGGTAGCAGTAGAGCAAATGGGGGATAGGTGGCAGGTTGTGGAGTACGTGCAGGCACTAGGGAAGCCAAGATGGGAAATGCATGAAGTAACAGAGTGATGCATGATGACGATGACTTCATAAATTGAAGGAACGTAGAGAAGGCCTATTAGATTGTTACGACAAATCACTGGAGCACTTGCTTCGTGAAGCAATGAAGCGAGTCAAATCTGATTTCAAAAACGCGTATTCAACGTGGCAGGTATAAGAAAGCTTTCAAAAAGTAAAACTCAGTTTACAGGGTATCTATACGGAAATCTCCATCACCCCAGAACGCCCTTCATTTCATCCCATTTCTACCACTATCCCCTTACTTCCTGAACAAATTCGTCGCACTCCCCATCAGCGGATTAGGCTGAAACTCCATGTCATTCCCACCCACAAACAGCGGCACAGTATCATCATCGACCCTACTCTTCGGCTTCAGCTCCTCCCCCCTCGCAATCTCAATCGTACTAATCACCGGCAGCGCCAACAGCAACAATGGCAGCAGTTGACCAAAACTCCAGTTGCCTTCTGACGGACCAACCAAATGCACAGATTTCGGCGGTGTACCAAAAGCCTGAGATTCCAAGACGACGCGAATCGTAGCGCCGACGCCCATGGCGAGACAGGCAAAGAGGCCGATGACTTGGACAGTCTTGAGCCACTTTGGGTTTGAGCGGTTGTGCAAGTACCAAGTTGCGAAGCCAAAAGTGAGGACTTGGCCGGCGATTACGGCAATAGTGCCTGCGATTGAGAGGGCGGCGTTGGAGCTTGTGCCTTTGCTTTCCACTTGCCACACACAGGCAATCGGCAGCCTGGGTTCCATGTTCTTCATTACAGTTTGCAGGATAAAGATGCCAGATAATATCCCCAGGAACATGTTGATGAGCATCAGAAGCTGCCTGATCCATCGGAGTACCCAGTCTCTCTTGAAGTCGTTTACCAGAGCGAGTAAAGTGGCGAGGTTCGTAGCGGTGGATAGCAGCGAGAGGAGCCAGATGATGAAGAAGTGGTATGGCACCATGGTTTTCATCTTTGCGAGGCCGACGGATTGGATGCCGATTCCGGTTAGGATTTGCTGGTCGGAGAAGGATTGGAGGAGTTTGCGGGATATGGGCGCGGAAGTGGATTTGCGGAGGCCGAGGAGGATTATGGCGGCTGAGAGGAGGATGGAGAGCATGTTTGTTATTATAAAGGATAGAAGCGTCTGTGAGGTTTGGGGTCAGTAGGAGGACCTTTGTAGGTTGCGCGCATGGGTTCAAAGTCGAGACGTACGCCTGCGCCTGCTACTCCAGCATCTGTGTTTGTCGTCTCGGGGACGGTAGAGCAATTGAACGTCATGGTTCCTGTTCTTGCCTCTTACTTCTCTTCGGTATCGTGTCTACAAAGAGCGTGGTCGCGTCAGGCCAGCATGCGCGGAATCGTCGGAATTGTGCTATAGTGTCGCAGACTGAAATCGCAGAATCGCAGATACGCGCGCAAACAGACGGACGTTAAAGAAAGAGTGGCGCTAGACAGCTACAAGTAGAATTGTGAAAGTGAATGTCAAGGTAGAATCAAGACGGCTTGCACAGCCTCAAGCCGATGTCATCATCAACCGCCAGGGTCTCGCATCCCTCGCATCTAATTTAAGGCATGTTGGCGAGCGCTCAACGGCATTCGCAGCCCAGGGGTAAAGATCGACGCGTGAAACAAGGCGGCAATGCTGGCCAATGGACGATCTTTGCCCGTTGACATCTGTGGCGCAGCGCTTAATCTGCGACAGATGCTGGGCCAGTTAGAGATGCGGGGTAGGCAATCTTCATGGATAGACGATGATGTTGTGTTATGCGTAGAAGGGGATTTGGAGCGGTGGTGAAGGAGAAGTGGGGTACTTGAGGTGAGGGCGCTTGCGCAGGGGAATGGGCGGGCGTGCAGGAAGGGTCCTCGACGGCTTGTCTCTTAGCGCGCAGCCGGATGGTAGCGGCCGGGCTTAAGGGCAATCTTCATTTGTTGTCAGTCCATCACTTCACCTACAACAGTCCGTCAAGTCTCATAGTACAGCAGTCCAAAATCTCTATTTGCCACAAGTACGAGCAAGTAATTCTCTCAAAGGTCTAGCTGTACCTGTAGTACCACCTTATGCTTCTCCCATCTCATTGTCTGAGGGTATGGGAGCTGGCTTGTTCGTCGGTGCATAGGCGCTCTTCTCCCTAATCTTCGCACCTTGTAAGTAAAACCAAACCGGCACAGGAACCATTGCAGCAGCAACACATCCAAGCAACGTAGCAGCCCATTCAATACCCATGCCCTCGAACATCTGTCGCGCGAAGAGAGGGAACGCAGCTCCACAAAGACTACGAAGGAACGTGTTTGCAGCAATCGCCGAGGCGGCAAACTAGACCGTGCATTAGCATGCGCAAGGATGTGTGAAGGACGGTCTTTTCTTACCATGAGGTAGGCGTCGATGAGGTAGTTGAACGCCTGCAGGAAAATACTCATGATGCCAAACCCGATCAATAGCCCAGAAAGCGTAGGCACAATCCAATGGATATCCGCCTTATAACCTGTCCATCCGAACCAGAATATTCCTCCCGCGAAACAAACTCCGCCAGCAATAACCTCTGGTAACCGCCATTCTGGAATGGGAACGTTATTATTTGCAGCGAGTTTCTTCTGGTACCCCGGTTGTCGAACAAAGACAAGAGTGCCAGCCAACAGCTCTCCTATAATCGCGCCGAAGAATGGCAGACCACCTACACCGGGGTTCATCCTGTGGACGCCCTGGAAGACTAATGGATATGCTGTGAGAAAGAGATATAGCAGTCCGTAAATGAATGCCATGTATACACTCAGCAGCAGCACGATGCGCTCCGTGACCAGCATCCTGAGGGGTCTAGAAAAGTTCTTTTCAAGCAGCTCGCGGAAGTCGATTTCTATCTCTTCCTGCTTGGCGTGGATACCCCAGTTTTTGGTGCGTCGGCGAAGTTCTTCGGCTTTGGCGACGAGGATCATGGGTGGGTACGATTCGGATAAGAAGAGGAGGTTGAGGGTGAAGGCTGCGAAGCCCATGAAGGAGCTGGACTGTATATCAGCAGATGTATGGTGTATAGTTTGTAGGGACAGCAGAAGTGCTTACACGAGGTATTGAGTCCACCGCCAACCGAGATCAGGGTCCATGACTATGAAGCCACCGATAAAAGGCGCAAGGAAGGGACCACTAAAGACCATGACACTAAACACAGTAATCGCCATCCCTCTTGTCCTGTTTCCAAACATGTCGGAAAACACTGCAGCAACACACTAAACCTCATGTCAGTGCCTACGCTCAATCGTAAGGGGAAGCCAAATGCTACTCACAGTAATCGGACAAGCCCCAAAGAACCCTGAGAAGAACCGACAAATCAACACAGTCTGCAAATCTTTGCCCGTCGCACACGCAATCTCAAACACAGAAAACCCAAAGCTCGCTATAACAAGCGGCAGCCTCCTCCCTTTCAACTCTGAAAACGGCGCCCATAGGATCGGTCCCGTCGCGAACCCCAACACATACAACGACGTCCCCAGCGTCGCAACCACAGATCCCACAGCGAACTTTTCCGAGATTTGCCTCGTCGCTGTACTGAATATCGAGCTGGCAAATGCAGCCGTCATGGTCGTGAAGCCCAACATGGCAGCTGTAAAGATCTTCTTCCTAACAGCCCAATTCTGGGCGTGCAAGGGGTCGTCGGGTCCATCGAATTCTACGACGTAGTCTTCTTGTGAGCCTAAGGGGGGTGGGTAGGGTTTTCCGGCTCCGAAGGCGGGTAAAGGGCGGGAGCGAGAGGATCTGCTGCGGAAGATGGAACCCACGGTGTGGGAGTGTTGGCTTCGTTGTGTGTGGATGCGACTCAAGGTTGACGTGTGGTGGTGGAGGTTATCGGTATCGGAGGGCTGCTCGGGAGGTGGTCTGGGTTTCGCGTCTGAGGTATCCGGTGTTGTATTCGAGCCGGTTGCTGTACTTGACGAGGTACCAGTACGTGTAATATTACCCTCTTTTTCTTCGTCTAGCTCTGGTATAGGCGTATGTGTTTGTAGAAAGCGGTGTTGGCTAGCATATTGTTCACCCTTCTCCACATAATGGTCTTGATCATCCATGGTAATGGTAACTTTGAGTCTGATGCGATAGGATATGTCTCGAGCATTTGAGGCGTATATTATACATTATGCTTGCTTCATATGCTCAAGCATATGGATCACAGAGGCATGAAAGTCCGACCCTCCGCACCGTTATCCCACTGAAGCCGGTGTTCGCCTTCAACGGATCGGATACTTTATAATACACCGAACTGCCGGTGAAGTATACTCGCGAGAAGGAAAGCGCGAGTTTTGCTTAAGACATCGAAAGTGACTTCTGTATCGTATACTGTTCATAACAGTTTTCTTCCTTGTACACCACAACTCTGAGATACTGGCAATGCTACATGTGGCATTCAAGCTGTCTCCAGTGTTTGATGTTGTTCGGTGTCCAGTGTCCAGCCGTCGGGCGTTTTGGGATGCCGAAGGAGCGAAGCCGCGTCGACCATAAGTAGCTACCAACTTCTTTCGGCAATAAACTGCCACGTTCGGCCCTGTCTTTCGTACAACAGAGCGATGACGCCAGAATCGAAGGAATGTACGCTACTGATGACAGACAGCAGGGCTACATATGCCGAGGCTTATTTGCAACAGATGCACGACGTGGTGAGTCGGAGCTCACATTGTCAGCAAGAGCAGCATTGTCGCCTTCGGGTCTTACTAGTATGTGGACGATATCTGCGGCTGATCTTTTAACTTCCTGTTGAGTATACAAGGAAGCAGAGTTAGCACCTATGCTTTCCACTGTACAGAGGGCCATAAGGGTGGATAAGTATTAGTGTCGTCGGTGGAGGCTGAGTTCACTCTGGCTAGGCATCCATGGATTTCTTGTGGCTGAACAAGATGCATTTACCCCGCAGGCGTCAGCATCTCCAAACCTCCAAACTGACATCCTTCAAGAGTATCCAGTGCGAAAACAGAGATACTAGGTTCGTAAAAATACTTCAGTCCCTTTTCGGTTACTGATCTAGTTTTAGTCACATCTTGTCGCCTCTATCCTAGTGCGCATCAATGTATGCACGTTATCCATCAGCCTTGAACCTTCAAAAAGACCAGCAGTAGTTCAAGATGACACAAGCTGTGTCCGAATGGCTCGCTCTTGACGTAAAAGATATCGACGAGAAGAAGCTACTGCCAGGTTTTATTGGAAAAGATGGCGTGCAACCGCATCTTCCAACACAAATGGTGAAGATACCGTTCGACAATCCTGATCAAGTTGCTGTGGTCTCGTGGCGCTGGGACGGAGATCTACGAACCAAGGGCTCCTGGAACATTGCGAGTGTTGTAAACGTCGCAAAGCGGCGAGGTATTCGATATCTGTTTATCGACACCATCTCCATCGACCAAACATTGCCTGTCGACGACCTCATCGAACAAGTTGTAGCGTTCTCGACACTGTACACGAAGATTACGGTCCTCGCTGCCTACGATAAGACTGGAGATGACTGGAGACATATGAAATCCACTGTTCTACGTCCGTGGATTCTGAACGAGATCCGCCTTTTCCGGCAGAATTCCGGCACAATCATCTACGCAGGACATGCTCGCCAGGGTTGTATGCATGCTGGACAGATTGGAGAGGGAGGTATTGGAGTAAGGTTGGCTGCGTATGGTGTCTCACACAAGGACTCCTACTTCAAACTCTTGCTCGAGACCATCTGGTGTACTAGCTTCATTGAATCCATCATTGGTGTACTACTTGAGGATGTTGGGATGTCTTCCACCTTGGACTTCAAATACATCATACATGCTTACTCACACATTCTTTCTGTTGCGTACGAACAGATGGAACGCAATGACTACCTTCTAACGACGGCGATCCTCTGCCATGCTCTTCGGAAAGATGACTTGGCGGAAAAAGGCTTCAGGATCAAGAGAAACATTGAGAAGCTTCGCTACTGTCGTTACAGTTTTACCGCAGTCTCAGATGGTTCAAATGGAGTATGGGAATACTATAAGATCTTTCTAGATGGGACAAAAGTTGCTCTATGGCGTGCTCACAGATATGATCAAAGATTGCACTCCCAAAAGCTTGACAAGCTTCCCAGTACTGACCGCGTCATCTTCGCAGCATTGGGTCTTACGGCCTCAGAATACAATGATTTTGTAGGAGCAGAAGAAGCAAGGCGCGAGTGTCTACTGATGGACAATGGGAAGAAGATGCCACCACCTGCATTGGAAGTTGTTGAGGTTGACCTTTCACTCGACGCACCTACGGTTTGACGCTATAGGGGAAGGATAGCATGCTCAGAAAAAGCGGACGGTTTGCGGCGGTATGGGAGAGGTAGTAGTAGCAATAGTGCCCACTCATTTGTAAGGTTGTACTTTATCAAAACAGCACATATCATAAGCTTGTACTGTACATACTTACCTTGCGCAGTAGTCCAAAATGCGCATGGTCGTCATGATCAACCTCGCAACCTTTACACTTCTTAGTTGTCTACTTTCATACACGTGGTAGAAGGTCGGGAGTACGTGTGCTGCAGCGTTAAATCTACGCTTGCAGTCAAGAGCTTCCACAGCGAGCATGGGTCAGCCTTCGGTCGTACGGAGGCGCAAATAGCACACAAGTTCATCACAGAAGCAGACTCTGGCATTGTTCGCTGAGGTCAAAGACCGAACTCAGCCATTGCTCGACAGAGGCACAAAGTGTGGTGAAGCGTGACATGATCGGTCACCCACCCACGACGTCAATATCCCTGTTACGCGATTGATCAAGTCACAAGTGCATAAGTGGCAAAATGTGTTGTTGATCCCACAGTGGGAAGTTGGTATCTCTACCATGTCGTGATTTTGGTATTCGTCTAGCAACTGCTCATAAAGACGTTATAACCGTCCGTCATGATCATGCATAGTCTTCGTCAAAAGGTCATAACAACGCGCGCGCCAACAGCAAGTTGTCTACAACTTCTGCATAGCGACAACGTCGGTGGACTGGACGTGGTCCTCGAACTCTTCGATCTGTTGCTGGAGCTCGTCCAGCGAGACCTTGTCGTCCTCGACGACCAAGTTGATCTGGAGCTTCTTGATACCGAAACCGACAGCGACCAACTTGGAGGCACCCCAGACGAGACCGTCCTTCTCGATGGAGAGAACGTTCGCCTTGAGCTCGTCCATGTTTGTCTCGTCATCTGGAAGCTGTTAGTACACAGGTAGGATAAAGCAGAGCCAAAGAACATACCCCATGGCTTGACGTCAAGGGTGACGATGGACTTGGCAGCAGGCTTGACCTTGCCGGCCTTCTTCTTGTTGTACTCAGCAAGGCGCTCCTCCTTGATGCGGGCAGCCTCAGCGTCCTCCTCCTCGTCGTCGGAGCCGAACAGGTCGACCTCGTCGTCGTCGTCCTCAGCCTCCTTCTCAGGGGCCTTGGCGGGGTTGAGGGTGAGCTCGGAGGACTCGGGGCCGTAGGCAGTGAAGTCCTTGGTTGGGTCACCGGGGAGGGAGTCGAACTCGGCCTCGAAGGTGAGCATGTGGTTGTACCACCTCCATGCGTATGGGTACTTCTCGGGAGCAGGGATCTGCTTGATCTGCTGGTAGACCTTTACATCGGCCTGCGATGGGGAGTAGCTGGGGCATGTTAGCTGATGACTCCTCCATGGTGTCTGGATAAGATGCAGCAGAAACAAGGGATAGATCAGAGTTGCGACAAGCGCGTGGTTTTGTATTCAGATAGCGGGGTCTTAAGCCGCCTCATTAACACGGACCAATTGTTCTCATCATGAAAGGGTGGGAGTGCGACGCGATGCAGTGGGAAAATACAAGGCGGGACGAAATGCGAGGCGGGGTAGGAACTTACCCAACGATGTAGCTGCGGGTCCTGACATAGTTGTTCAGGAGAGTCAGGCCTGCTTCGGAGACGAGATCGGTGAAACCCATATTTGCAGTTGTGTGGTTGCGAGTATGGAATGGAGGAATCGAAGTTGTTGTGTCGAGAAAAAGAGGGACGACCGCAGTTTTTGATGGAGGAAATTGCGCTGAGAAAAACACGCTAGCCTTGGCGCTAGCACGTGCCCCTCCCTGCCCGCGACAATGACAGCGACGAAGACACAGTGCCAGCCACAGTCGTTTACCTTTATGCATCTGGACCTCGCATGCATACGAGTCGGTCCCACCTGTTCTCCTCGGCTTTTGCCTGCATTGGCTGTGGATGTTGAAGCCTGAAATGTGTGCTCATAGACGCGTAGAAAGCTGTCGAACCACCGCGCATCTTCGCCGAAGCCTGTGCTCGCCCCATCAGTCACGAATATAATGATGCCACTTCCGTCTTCCTCAATCTGACTCTTGCTCGTTTTCTGACTCCGACATCGTCATGCTGACCAGTAGAGCACGCATAGCCGCGAGGCGCATCGCCTCACCCTCCATCCCACGATCACTTCCCATTCGTACATCGCCGTTATGTCTCAACGCATGCGCATCACGATTGCCTCAGCAACAAAAGCTCCTAAGACCGCTTGTTTCGTCGAGGACATATGCAAGTGGAGGCCGACCGCAACCTCCAGGTGGAACGCATCGCATGAACCTGGGTGGTGAGCCGGAAAAGCCCGCTTTGGAACAATATGGTGTAGATCTTACGGAGCGAGCGCGTGATGGCAAACTAGATCCAGTCATCGGACGAGACGGCGAAATCCAACGTACCATCCAAATTCTGTCGAGACGAACAAAGAATAATCCTGTCTTGATAGGTTCCGCAGGAACAGGAAAGACGGCGATTCTTGAAGGTCTAGCACAGCGCATCGTAAAAGGTGACGTACCCGAATCGATCAAAGACAAGCGCGTCATCTCCCTCGACCTCGGATCCCTTATTGCTGGCGCGAAATTCCGGGGAGATTTCGAGGAGCGACTCAAGAGCGTCTTGAAGGAAGTCGAGGAGGCCAACAAGGGTGTCATACTATTTGTGGATGAGTTGCACACATTGCTAGGCTTGGGTAAAGCGGAGGGTAGCATTGATGCTAGTAACCTTCTGAAGCCTGCGCTTAGCCGTGGAGAGCTACAACTCTGTGGAGCGACAACACTCAACGAATACCGACAGATTGAGAAAGACGCAGCGCTTGCGAGACGGTTCCAACCAATTCTAGTAGGCGAGCCGACCGTACAAGATACTATCTCGATCCTGCGCGGTATCAAGGAACGCTACGAGGTTCATCATGGTGTGCGCATTACCGATAACGCTCTAGTCGCCGCTGCTTCGTACAGTAACCGATATATCACGGACCGATTCCTTCCAGACAAGGCTATTGATTTAGTAGACGAGGCTGCCAGTGCGCTACGTCTCCAGCAAGAGAGCAAGCCCGACGCGATCCAAGAGCTCGACCGCCAGATCATGACAATTCAAATCGAGCTTGAGTCACTTCGCAAGGAGACCGATATCGCCAGCAAAGAACGACGTGAGCGTCTTGAGCAAACTTTGAAACAAAAGCAAGACGAAGTGAAGGTGTTGACCGAGAAATGGGAAAAGGAGCGAGCCGAGCTCGATGAGATCAAAAACGCGCAGACAAACCTTGAGAGGGCGAAGCTCGAGCTTGAACAAGCCCGCCGAGAGGGTAACTTTGCGAAGGCTGGCGAGCTGCAATACAGCAGGATCCCTGAGCTAGAGCAGAAGCTTCCCAAAGACGAAGAAGTTACTGCGGGGGCCAATCGACAGGGCTCTTTACTGCATGACTCTGTTACTGCAGACGACATTGCGTCTGTCGTATCCCGTACGACTGGCATCCCGCTGTCCAAGCTCAACTCGGGCGAGAGTGAGAAGCTCATTCACATGGAAGACACTCTGCGGCAATACGTCAAGGGCCAGGATGAGGCCCTAAAGTCTGTTGCAAACGCCATTCGTCTGCAGAGAGCTGGGCTATCTGGCGAGAACCGGCCCATCGCTTCTTTCATGATGTTGGGACCGACTGGTGTAGGAAAGACTGAAGTTTGCAAGAGGTTGGCGGAGTATCTCTTCAGCACTCCCCAGGCTGTCATTCGATTCGACATGAGCGAGTTCAGCGAGAAGCACACCGTCTCGCGCCTCATCGGTTCTCCTGCAGGCTATGTTGGGTACGAAGACGCCGGCCAGCTCACTGAAGCTGTCCGAAGAAAGCCCTATGCAGTCCTCCTGTTCGATGAATGGGAGAAGGCCCACAAAGACATCTCAACACTGCTCTTGCAAGTGCTTGACGAAGGGTTCCTCACGGATGCTCAGGGCCACAAGGTTGATTTCCGTAACACCATCATCGTCATGACATCGAACCTTGGAGCCGATATCATCGTCGGCGATGACGTCCTGCACTCGGTGGACAAGGACTCCAGCGAGATCTCGCCAGCAGTACGTAGCGCTGTCATGGATGTCGTTTCCGCCACATACCCACCAGAATTTCTCAACCGTCTCGACGAGTTCATCGTCTTCCGCCGTCTGTCACGCGAAGCACTCAGAGACATCGTTGACATCCGTTTGAAGGAACTGCAGCAGCGACTGGACGATCGCAGAATCGTGTTAGAATGTCCGGACGAAGCCAAGCAATGGCTATGTGATCGGGGATACGACCCGAAGTTCGGTGCTCGGCCACTGAACAGACTCATTGCAAGAGAGATTGGCAACAGCTTAGCGGACAGGATTATCCGTGGAGAGATTCGCAGCGGGGACACCGCCAAGGTCGCCATCAACGAGGAAGGCACCGGTCTCACCGTCGCTGCCGCATGAACCAGTATGACTAACGATGATATGACTGTATAACAGAATGTAAACTGTACTATTGCATGTACATAATAATGTAGCATTAGCGGTGTTTGTAGGTAAACGATTTCCTCTCTGTAGACTGTATCAATGCATACGATACCCTGATCAGGTTCAGTATTTTGTACTTGCGGAAGGCACGCGTCACGTAATTGCTTACATGCGACTTCCTCTTTTCCTCTCAACTCACTTCATTCACTGTTCTCTCACCTCACCAAAGTACTGTGACCAGCAAAATCACCATCCTCGATCAAGGTGATGGCGCGCAATCATACTACCAGGCCTCCGCATCGGCATCAAGGTAGTCGCAGTAGCGCTTCTTCTCGCGGCAATCGCAGTAGTCAGATCAGTCGCACGCCCACTTCCACCAGCAGTTCGCGGGCTTCCTCCAAGCGTGCCGCTTCCAATGTGCCCTCTGGTCCGAGCAGGCCTCGCGAACAGGTCCGAAGAGGACCTTTTCTGGACACGTCGACGGACACGCCTTCCGAAGCTCGTAACGAAGCCGAAGAGAATGATGATACATTGATCGAGGTTATCATGGCCGTTGATCTGACGCCGCGTGGTACGGTGGGATGTTGTTACTATGTCGCAAGAGACGAGAAGCTGTACTTCATGGAAGACATTCAGTGTGGAGATGTTGATGTCATCGAAGCCCGTATGTTCTTCGATACTGAACGTAGGCGGGCTACTAACGAAACCACAGTAAGAACATTCATCGAGCCAACAGTGATTCTGGTATCGACAAAGATTGACGACAAGCTGATTGAGCGCTTTGATCCAGAGGCTGAGAATGCCGACTACGCACATAGTGACAATGATCAATTTCGCCTTCCATTCATCTTAGAGGTGAGACCACCAAATGAGTTCTCTTACGAGGTTGGGAAAAACAAGCTCGTCAGTCTGCGCCTAGGCCTGGAACATGGTACTCGCGTCAGCTTCAGAGTTCCGGGAGAGATCGTTCCCATGGATCACTTGGATGAAGAGGGGACGATAGGTCAACAAGGTCAACTGCTCCGGCTCGCAGGTTGGGTCGACCTTGAAAGTCGTTCCACAGTAATATTCCGTTCCTCGCAGGAATCCACGCCACTAATACTAAGTAGGTTGGCTGCGCCGGAGCACTCGTATCGTATCTTCAACGTCGACGCGCTGTTGCATACCTTCCAGGTGACCATGCAGCATACTTGGTGTTCCGTATCGCAACTTTGGAGATGTTCAGTCTACGAGAGACGATGTTCATCAACGCAGACACACTTCACTCTCTACAGATCATGGGTGCCGAATCCCATCCGCATTCGCACAATAAAGGGCCCACCAAAACCAGATCTGGTGAAAAAGAGGGCCTGTCTGTGTATGGTCTATTCCACCACCTAGCGCGGACGCCGCAAGGAAGATTCCTACTTCGGCAGCAGTTCCTTCGTCCTAGCCTCAACCTCGATGTGATCAACGAAAGGTTGAGCGCTCTCGAGGTCTTCACCCGCCCAGACAACGATCCTCCGCTACAGAGTCTCGTACAAAGTTTGAAGAGTGTTGGCAACATGCGTGTCATGATGGTGAATCTGAGAAAAGGTGTGGGTGGTTCGACAAAAGGGGCTAGAGGCTTCTCCAAAAGCATATGGACAGCAATCCGAGCGTTCGTATTCTATGCACTCAAGCTCAAGGACACGCTGCTGGATATAATCCGTGGAGAGACTTTGGCAATTAGGAACAAGGTGATTGAGCAATTTGAAGGGTACCATCTGGCTCAGATCGGAAGGAGGATCAGCGAGACCATTGACTTGGAACGCTCGACAGAGGAAGGTCGCACCATCATCCTACCAGGGGTTAACGAGGAGCTGGACCAGATGAAGCACACTTTGGACAGTCTCGACGACTTCCTCAATCGAGTTGCGCGGAAGCTGTCCGAAAAGATGCCTTCTGACATCAGAGCTACGCTGAATGTCATCTACTTTCCGCAGGTCGGCTTTCTCTGCACTACCCCCATTGATCAAGTGACCGGGAACGCGGTCTATGACGGTACTTTCGACAGTCCTTGGGAGAGGATGTTCTCTACCGAAGAGCAAGTCTACTTCAAGAACAGCGAAACGCGAGAAATGGATGATCACTTCGGTGACGTTTACGGTATCATCTCGGACCGCGAGATTGAGATCAGCCATGAGCTCGCTCAGTTCTTGCTGCAATATGAAGAACTGTTGACATCCTGTTCGGACATATGCGGAGAGCTGGATAGTCTGCTAGCCTTGGCGCAAGGCGCGAAGATCTACAAGCTCTGTCGCCCTCGTATGACACGCGAGAATGTCGTACGCATCGAAGGGGGTCGGTGAGTCTACTTTTCCACACTTAAGGCATAACTGCTGACTTTGGTGCAGGCACATACTGCAAGAACTTACTGTACCATCTTTCGTCGCGAACAATACATACTTGAGAGGCGGCGAGGGTGATAGAAGCTTTGAAGAAGCCGATGGGAACTGCGGCACCAGGACTCAAACACTCACCAGCTCTGCAGCTCGCCTTGCATACGAGCACAAGAACAGCCCAAGTATGCTCGTTCTAACTGGACCTAACTACTCGGGCAAAAGCGTCTACCTCAAACAAGTCGCCCTCATCGTATACATGGCGCATATCGGAAGCTTCGTTCCTGCAGACAGCGCAAAGATCGGACTGACAGACAAGATCCTATCTAGAGTCACGACCCGCGAAACAGTATCTCGTGCCCAGAGTGCCTTCATGATAGATCTCCAGCAGATATCACTCGCACTGAGTCTAGCTACTCGCCGAAGCTTACTCATTATAGACGAGTTTGGCAAGGGGACTGAGTCCAGTGATGGAGCCGGTCTAGCATGCGCAGTCATGGAACACTTACTAAGCTTAGGCTCCGAGCGGCCAAAAGTGATAGGTGCCACGCATTTCCACGAAATATTCGAGATGGGCCTACTCAAGCCTAGGCCTGCGCTTGCCTTCGGCCACATGGAGGTACGCATCGATGTCGAAGCTTCGGAAGTCAGCGATCAGATAACGTACCTCTACAACTTCCGCGAGGGCCGCAGTACTTCAAGTTTTGGTACATGCTGTGCGGCTTTGAACGGCGTTCCTCCAGAGATCGTTCAACGTGCAGAGAACCTCATACTGCTTTCTATGCAAGGTGAGGATCTTGTGGCTGCCTGTTGTCAGATGCCAGAAGATGAAGCTGCGGAACTCGAAGAAGCGGTATGTGACATCATGCGTCTGAGAGTACTGTTTAATGTGAAATTAGGAGCAAATTGCGAGAGGCTTCCTTGAAGCAGATTTGTACCAAGACCCAAAGGCCACCTTGGCGGATATACTGACTATATCTACAACTACTGATTCACGCAACTGGTGAGAGATGATGTGGTAATAGCATATGATATGCAAGATGGAACACAGATGGGATGAGATGGAATAATGCGGTATAAAGGTGGTCAAGAGATGCGTCGGGTTCCGGCGGACGCGGCGGGAACCTGTGCTGACGAGAACACCAACATTTCCCTTTAATAGTGAATACCCATGTTCTAGATGAGATAATCGATATTGAAGCGATCGTCGGCGAGATCATGTTCCAGTCATCGAAGTATGTTATTCCATCGCAGCGACGCGAAAAGCCTAGAATCTCCTTCGGCGTGTCGCGGAGTCGCCGGGTCCGCCGGACCCCGGAGATTCACGCTGGCTCATGGGTTCCAAGGTTTGGGTCTACATTGGGCCTGCACGGGCCTGGAACTCAAGTCCCGGAATTAGTTTGTCACTCTCAACGTACACGTGTCAACAGCGTAACTTGGGGTTCCTACTGACCCTCTATAACGGCGGATATGGATGGAGACATGGATGAATTGCCTGAAGGGGCTACAGGCAAACGTGCGGTACGATCGGTCATCCATATGATGCTACAGCCCTAACGGCCCGCTCGAAGTGTGATTCCTGCAGAACCAAGAAAATTCGATGCGATAGGCAGGTGCCATGCTCGCAATGTAGAGCGAACAAGAGTAGTAAGTGAAGATGCTAGCACACACTTGATCTTTGCGATGAGTTGTGTCGTTGGCCAAGCACCCTGGTTCGATGAACAGACCGTATGTCTTACGGGTTCAACGTGGTGGCTGACGAGCCAAGTCTGCAGAACCACGGCACTTCCAGAAAAAGGGCATAGGCGAGTTCATATTTCTCAAGAATAGTATGTCATCCAACCCGTCCTTGGGCACTTTTTTAATTCGTCCAGTGAGAAGAAGATACATGGCCTCGACGACCGTCTTACCAACATCGAGCACGCGCTTGCCAGTATAGCCTCCAAATTAGAGAACAACCAGACTCCTTCAGCTTCCGGAGAGTCGGTTAGCCAGATAAGGACGCAGCAAAGCCGACTTTTTGACAGCATTGTCGTTCCGGCTGTGGAGACACCTGCGCATTTCGAAGGCAAGACTGGAAACAACACGCAGTCAGACTATGTCCGAAATTTACTTGTCCAGGTAGTGGGCGAAACACCATCAGTGGGTCAGAATGCAGAAGTCAGAGCCGCATTGACAGCAATGGAGGAGTTGGTCGCTCGACACAACCATGACACAGCTTTAACGACTTCACTAAACCAACCCTTGCTCGACCGCTCCGTTGCAAGTGTTGATGATGAAACGCTAGGACGGCCTCCTTGGGAGGTTGTAACGTCTGTATTAGACAAAGCTTTGAGTCATTCAGCCTCTTCGAGATAACCTAGGAAACCGCTGACTTTCTTACAGAGGCACCGAACTTGATGTTCGCTAATCTGTCTTCAATGCTGAAGTTGGAGACATTGTGTGAGATCATTGAGGATGCCTATTTCCATCCAACCACATGCGGCACTGCGCGCCGTCTTCTAGCGTACGGTGTGCTTTTCAACCTCTTCACGTGGTTCTCGATGACGCCATGGAGTGGTATCAATATGAAGACCTTGAAAGAGTATGTGTAGCTATGATAGGTCACCTTTTCCCCAGAGATAACATCGCTGACAGTGTTGAGGTATGCTCTACTGGGTAAAGCCGCACACATCTTCACTACCTTTATATCGGCTAACGCAGGTCAAACACAGCCAAAAAACATATGGAAATCGCCCTGAGTCAACTCGGCATGTTCTACTCAGCGACCTATGAGCATGCTGCAGCTCTTTGTGTGGGTACAGCCTGCGCGATTCAGCAGTGTAGGCCCTCGCTTGCCTGGGTTCTAGTCTCCAACGCCGCCGAATTATGCCAAAATCTAGGCTACCACCGATTCGAAACGATGAAGTATGATACAAAACAAGAACAGAGATTTAAGATGCACATTTTCTGGTTTGTGTGCATGTTTGAAAAGCAACTATCACTGCGCTTAGGCCGCGTGAGTCGAATCCATGATTGGGATGTATCGTTACCTCTTCTCGCTATGAGGGAGACAGCGCCCAATGGCTTTAAAGGAGGCGACAAGTTGATTTACTGGGTCAAGGTGGCTAAGGTCTCGGGGCAGATCTACGAAAAACTTTACAGTCCAGCTGCGTTCCGCAAACCGTCCGAAGAGCGATCCCGGACGGCCGCTGCTCTCGTAGAAGCGATGAATAAGGCTTGGAGTGAACGAGGACAAGGAAGTATCATGGACATGAAGGAGAATTTGAGCTTAAACGAGACTGAGGTGCCGTCCAAGCGCAGGAAACTTCGGCATGAAGGCCAAGTTGCTTTGGAGCCCGATACGAATACGCAAAGTCAGTTGCACTGAAGGCCAATGACAACTTTCAACTGATATGTGTTAGGTGTTTCCAGTCGCTTAGAGGGCGTCTTCCTCTATGCCGACGTTGTAGTGCACTACTCGACCTGCGCACTCATACAGCGAGCAACAAGCTTGGACAACAGCACCTTCAGCCAAGAATGTCTTGAATCTTCCCGAGCTGCGCTTACAGCACATATGCGAAGTAATGCTAAATTCAACACTGGTGAGAAGACAGAGTTATGGGCAGGATACGTTCAGTGGTCAATCCTCCAGGTATGTCTAGCACCGAAGAACTCTGATGACGTACCTCAACGTTTTCAGCACACTAACGTCATTACAGGCTCCACTCACCCCGTAAGACGACCTCTAAGATTACATACCGATGCACTAATCCAGCCCCATCAGGTTCATGGTCTTGTTCAGCAATGCGATACAGCAAACTGATCCCACAGATCTGAAGTCTCTTGCAGACTTCGTCACAAGTCTCGAGTCGTGTCGAGAATTCTCTGCAGGTGCAGAAAAGCTGTACAAGATGTGTCTCCTCTTCTCTAAAGTTGCTGGCTTCTACATCCAGGCAAAGATCCAAGAGCGTCAGAATGCCCAGATGCCATCGTTCTCGAGCTCGGAACAAGGATACATCAATGCGATAAATGCAGACGCCCCAATCGATCTTGATACCATTGCACAATTTGGTCCGCACCTGAGCGCTCTTGGCTTCGTGTCTGACCCCATGTGGTCGACGGCGGAACATGCGCCAGGTATGACAACCCAAGGACAAGATTTCTACGTCCCAGAACTTGAGGTGGATAACGTATCAGGATCTGATGGATTAGGCACGCGCTATGACACCGAGGGTGTAAGCCATAATTCGATACAAGACTGGTTTGCAGGGTCACGATATTTGAATGGTTTTATCGACACGGGGATTGACATGCAGATGCCAGAATTCAGCTTTGTATGATTGCAATCAATGGTATGCAGCTTAAATGCTACCTTATTTGGTCAGCCGGTAATTGACCCGACAGTATCTTTTCTCGCGAGGATGAACAGGAAGAAGTAGGACTCAGAGCAGGGAATGCTATTTCAGTAAATGAACGATGAGTACTCCGAAGACACAGGAGAGATGACGATGACTCAGCTGGCCGACAGTATTGAGGTATGATTAACGCACATCGAACGGTGGCTGTGCGACGCCGTGTTTGGGTGGAGAGATCCTGTTGGAGCCAGCATCAACAACAAAATAGAAATGAAATATGTGTTGGCATCCAATACGATGTTTTGTAACGGCACGAACAGGTCGATGCGAACGTGCGCAAAGTAAAAACTGCACACGGCCGTTAAACTGCAATCAGAGCGTACGTGAAGACACTGTGTTCAGGAACATGGATGATAATTTGAAGAATGAGTCGTGGATCTGGGGTTCTTGCTGATTAGTAGCAATGGTGCAGGTAACTTGTAACCGCGAATATGCAGTCGGGTTCCGGCGGACGCGGACATGTCAGGATATCAAATCCAGAAGTTGACTAATCCATTGTCGAAATGCGCTTAGCAGTAAAGTGATCTAGCTCTTCTCTTAGAAGCTTATTCTGTAACGAAATAAGACCGAGCAATACTAGCCCAGAGCCTTGGCTCGTGACTGATTCGCAACGTGCTCTAAGAGTAAAGGTTTCCTAGCAAAGGTCTTTACTAGGGCTACTATAGTAATCTGTAGTGTTGTTAATGACGCGCGAGTGCAAGGCACGTTGAAAGCTAGTAGTATAGCCTGCAGCAAACAGTTATAAGATGGTGGAGTGCCAGCGATATCAGACATCTGCGCTCATTCTTCGTCTCTTCTCTTCTACACAGCGACAGCCTAAGAACTGCCTCATCTGTCTATCGGAGCGCATATCTCAGTCTAGAGCCATGGCTGCGTTACGACCACACGTGGTGGATCTTCTGATCATTGGGGCAGGCCCTGCGGGACTAAATGCCGCCCTGCTTTTCGCACGTACTCGGGGCACAGCAATAGTGTTTGACTCCCAGGAATACCGTAACGAGGGAATCAAGCAAATGCATACTATCGCCAGTAGAGACCACCATGACCCACATAGTTTTCGTCGCACTGCTCGGGAACAAATTGAATCTCGATACGACACTGTCTGGTTCCAACAAAGCAAGATTACTCATGCTACCAAAAAGCAAATCGGGGAAGAAAAATACGACGGCTTTGAAGTCCGCGATAGTAACGACAAGACCTATCTTGGGAAGAAGCTCATCCTCGCAACCGGTTCAAAGGATGTTTTACCAGACATTCCGGGTTACAAGGAGAACTGGCCACATCACATCTACCAATGTCTAGCATGCGACGGCTTCGAGCAGCGTGGCACTCCTATCGGTATCCTCGAGTTCAAGCATCCATCACAAGCAAATCTCATCCAGATGGCCAGAGCATTCGATGACAGGCTTACCATTTTCAGTAACGGCGCTATTGCGGACGACCCTCCTGTTCAGCGAGCGCTGAAGGTCGCCCGAGGCGTTGGCGCGAAAGTCGACTCCCGCAAGATCGTGCGTCTTATCAACAACGGACCCTCACATGAGGAGGGTGTAACTATCGAGTTCGATACAGGCAATCCAGTGACTGTGGGCTTCATTGTGCATCGCCCAGCTACTGTGAATAGATCACAGCATCTTATCGAGCAGCTGGGTATTGAGACGGTGGACCCAGCTATCGGTGGACATATCAAGGTCACAAGTCAGTTCAATGAGACAAGTGTGAGAGGGGTGTTTGCCGCGGGCGATACAATGGTTGTAATGAAGCAGGCAGTGATAGCGATGGCCGAGGGTCTGAAAGCCGCGTCCGGCGCAGGTCAGCAGATGCAACAGGAGAAAGCGGAGATTGCCATTAGAAATTTCGATTCGAGCGTCGGGGAGGCAGATAATGTGCCTGTGATTGCGTAAGAAGTTGCTGGACACTCGTGGGAATGTGGTAGAGTAGATTCTGGTATTCATGTTTGTATGCTGTAATCCTTACTCCCTCTGCATTTCCAGTCTTCTCGATCTATACCATTGCGATTTTGACGTACAGGTATGTTCTACATTTAGGCAGATGAGTGGAACTGGCATGAGGCATGGGCACGTTACAAAGAGGAGTGACCGTCATGCTATGTGCATATGAGTGGTCGATCAATTGTCTCGCCAACGTAACTTCCGGGATGAAAGTCTTCTGCATATTCTTACGTCCAAGCTTTTGTACTGCGTGACTTTACCTCGATTCTTCGAAGTCTCCGCTCATGGGATAGAAGATAGTGCAGCAGTAATATCAGTTCTATGTTGATGTTCGTGCTGTATGGAATTGGTATCAATAAAATCGGGCTGCGATTGGTACTAGCCCCGCTGACCTGGCTTATCATGGCACTGGTCAGATTGGAATCGTTCCATAATGCCCGTCGGGTTGACCTGAACCTACGCCTCAGAAGTGCAGGATGCATTTCCAATCAAAGCGCAGCGAGGCATTTGTCATGAGAGAACTTCTTCGCTGCGAGAGAGTGCAGTACTTGGGCGTGTTCACAGTATGTCATTGACTGGACAGCGAGTTGAATGAGGTATTCGGGAATAGATCCTTGTGGACTCTGAACAGATATTACTCAGCAAACTACGCGAGAAGGGTGTCATCCGTTCAGATTCGAAGCAAGGGTGCCACATAGGTGCACTTGCTTTCTGAAGCATGGTGGAAGGTACAACTCTGGCTGCTTGCCGATCGTTATCAGAAGCAAAAGGATTTGCATACACAGTAAAAGCGTAGGCCGAATGCATGAGGTCCTTATCGTTGGTTCCAATGATACTGAGTGCAGGTGTGTGAAGCTGTTGGATGATTCGCCGGATGCCGTCAGCCATGAGCACGCGAGAGAAGAACTGCGTGCCAGCTTTGACAAGTGAGAGACTGTTATCAGCCTAATCGAAGCATGAATCAGCATAAAGATGTCCGTTTTGTCTCTTACAACGTGGTAATGGCCGCTAATCTTACGTTAGCATACAAATCTAGCGAGAACCATCGACAGTCTTCATACATTCTACCACGCTTTCGAAGGGATTTGCTTGTACATTTTCTTCACTCTGAGTTACTCCAGAGCAGTGCGTCATCATGAGTACTTTGCGCAGCCGACTCTGCGACCGCTACGTCAGCAGATATATCAGTGCGTGGTATGCTCAGCTTCTTCACCAACTACGTATCTGAATTGCTAGATCCTTAGTTCTCTCGCCGCGGAAGCTACTTCCTTGCTACTTGTACCTTTGCCCTGCTTCCTGCTCACCGATGATATCCCACACCGTTGGATCGGAATTTGCACCACCATGGCACAAGCAGCCACATGGCTCAAAGTGCGGTGACTCTCGTGCTACCACACCTGCGTGCGAGACGATACTGCATCTCGATGGGTGCGATGGGTGCGTTGGTTGCTTCAAGAGCTGGCACCTAACGGGCGATGTTTAATGAACTCTATGAGTCAGAAACAAAGTATTTGCGCGGGCCGCTACGCCGTCGTGCGGAGTAGTCTCCGACGTCTAGTTCAGTGAACAGTGGGCAAGTTTGAGTAAGACCAGAAACCGCAGCGGAGTGATCGAGGCACCTGGGTTCTTTCGCATTATTAGCATATTTGGAAATTTGAAGCTCGTGGTAAACTATCGACGTTTGCTTCGCCGCGATGCATTTGCAAACATGCAAAGAAACCCATTCGGGGGCTGGCGGAGTTGCTTCGTGTGACTCGTCAACCTGCCTGTAACCATCTATAGAACTTATTGGCCCATGATCTTTCCCGCCGTGCAAACATCCTACACATGCGGTTAATCTAATTAACCAGTAAGCACCCACGCATAACGCCTTGCCCAGCCGGTTGTGGCAGGTCCTGCACTGCTCATGTGCCGAAGTAGGCAGTGCCCGCACCGCTTTGGGGCATCACTTTGCAAGGCCTCCCGTCCAATGAAGCGGGGTGCCGGTGTAATGGTCGGCGGGGGCTGATGTGAGAGAAACGACAAGGTAGGTCGACGAGGAAAGAACATGTTGCGTCATATGTCTTATCCATCGTGGAAACGATGGCCTAAGGGATTGGAGAAGTGGGCGTTAGGCGCTCTAGTCTGTCGGTAGATGTAGGTACGTGTGGCTATGCGCGTGCCGGGCGGCATCGGCCCGCCGCAACAGTCCCGTACCGATCACAACCGGCTCTGGATAGCTTCACGCCGTTGCTCCCCCACTCCAACATCTTCAATTCATTTTTCCCAGAACCATTCCAGATCACGAACACCAACCCTCTAGCCTACCCTCTCTCCATAATATACAAACCACCGCACCCTCACAACATGCTAAGCCGGACCGATAGCTGACGCGCCTCAGCACTAGTTCGTCTGCGTGTCTAAGCCACCAGTCCAATCCCCACCCCTACACCGGGTACAGGAACGGCCCCGCTAATCCTTGCATTCCTGCGATCCACACAATCACCCATGTCCTCGCCTCCGCGATTGGTGAAAGCGTGTAAACTTGTGAAAAGGCAGCGGGCTATCTTACGCCTATGTTTAGGTGGCGCGTAACCTCCCACGCATCCTGCGGGAGCTTGAGTCAAGAGCGGGTGTTCGGCGGGAAGCGCGGGCGGGAGGTGTGGTGGGGATGATGTGGTGGATATTCCGAACTTTATGCTTGAAGAATGCGAGAAAAGAGTTGCTAGAGTGATAGGTGATAGTTGTGCAGTGATTTGACTTGACTGACTTGCTCGTGCTTCGAGCCTACAATGTAAATACTCACTTGCCATCACGAACGTTCGCAACATCAGCTACCCGTCACGGGTTGCATCTCTAGCGAGCCAACATGCCATGTTCATGATTGCTAACAATTGCTCGATCGTCCTCCATGTCGATCTTGCAAGATACCAACAGAGAGTGGTCCTGTCATCCCAAGCGCCCGGCCCAGTATGCACAGACTTCATCAATCAGCGCAGCCTGTTTGTGCCCCATGCGCATGTTTTAGAAGCGAACCCGAGATACGGGTAATAGACTCGCGATTGAGATGCAGTCGACATACCTGGTTTTGCTTATGGTGAATGTTCTGCTTCAGTCGGGATAAGAAACATGTCGGCAGCGCTGATTTATGGTACCTATCGATTCAATCAATGGAAGTATAGGATAAACCTGTACAAAGCATTCCCCTATAAGCGTTAGTGCGCTGAAAATTTCTTCGCTGTTGTCTCCGCTAGTGGAGGTCAGTTCGCAAATGTGTAATTCTTGGGTGTAGTGCTGAGCGCAATCAGTAGGTGGGGCACAGGTGAGATGATGCACGCAATCCGAAGCTAGATGCGCAAACGGAGATTGTCAAAGCGGTCTCGCATAACGAGTTAGCTGAAAGATGTTCCATTACGCGTGATAGTAAGCCATGGCTCATGGTAGGTAACAAATTACAAATGCACCAATGAAGATACACTGAGGAACCTTCGACCATCACTCTCTACCCGCTCTATTGGGCCGCCTAGGCCCTCCAAGGAACTGGCAACTGAGCGTGCGTACAGGCCGTCGGAAGACTAGGCGGGGATGGAGGAAGTGCGGCCGAGGACGATGCAAGGAAACGACAATCGCTAGAGCCTTCCCAATAGATATGCTGGTGGGGTACATGCGCGGAGTTCTATCATCTAGTACAAGGAATTACAAATCGCTGAAGATGCAGCCATGTAGATCATACTGTGTTCATGCGTAAGCAGCTCTGGGTCCGCGATGCCATCTGACGCTTGACGTTCTCTGGCGCAGCTGACATGGTGATTCTAAAAGTATCGCGTACGCAGCTTCGAAGCGACTTCTCCATGGCCACGTAGACGCCGCAATGGATGCCTGTCTCGGCGGCATTGGCCGGGTTGCAGTAGCGCTCAGAAAATCTGTCAATCAGCTTCTCCACCCTGCAGAGCTCAGCCAGAATGTGATTTGATTGATAGATGTGTTCGTGTTCGGAGCTCAAGAGGCCATTGAACATACGACGAGGGGCCAAGGCATCCACGTGAGTCTCCATGGAGTAACATTCGTTTTGCTGAGTACTACCAGCGATCGCTTGGTACCAAGATAGTATTTTCACGATGATTAGATTGATCGTGGCTGAGTAGTGGGGGTTCGATGAGCATTCGCAACTCAATAGCGTGTAGAGTCTGTCCACTGCCGCTGTGTTGGTTGAGAGTACTGGTCCCGATGTAGGGAGACTATCGAGCGAGTTGAAGTCTCCAGCAGCAGACTGAGTCTCAGGCGGAGCATATAGGCTGCATAGTATCTGGAAGGCGAACTGGGTACAATCGTGCCTCATGAGGATGTGGGAAGCTGGTGGTGTCGGTAGAGGGGAAGATATCATCGGCGGCGGCGAAGCCATTATCTTCTCTTGGTTTGCATTATCTGGTCCTAGCACATCAAGAAACTGATGACCAAAAGCTGCCGAGGTTTGGGTTGGATCCAGTGATGCCAGCATCTCAGGCTGGCTTTGCACGCTGGTTGATCGGGCATGTCCATGAAAGGCCGCGTGTGATGGAGGATACTGTGGTACGGGAGCAAACATCTCCGCCTGATGTGCAAATAGCATTTGTTCACCGCTCGGCCAAACATTTGAGTGCGAGCTGATACCTTCCGAAGATCTGGAAGATTGGCTACCATCGAATGTGTTCCCCACGAATGCATCCTGGTAGTGGTATTCTGGGGTACGAGGACCGAAATAGAAGGGGTCTGTCGGCTCCGGAGAACTTTCATACGTGTACGATGTAGTACGTGGAAGCAGATCTACTCTGGCTCCGAGAGGTGCATAGGAGCCTGCGGGCGATATATCGCGCTTGATAGATCCATCGAAGTTTCTGTTCTTGCGAGGTTTTCCCAACCTGAGAATGCGTGAGCTCGAGCCTCAAGTCAGAAATATAGTTGACATACCTCATGGAAGGTGAGTAGTTGCAACAGATGCTCATAGTGCCGCATCGGTGGCATGTCGGTCGCACTTTGTCGCATTTAACCTGCAAACAGTGTCAGAAATAATCGTCACTTTGCCAAAATGCGGAGTGAATACCTTAGCACGGGAGCAGGCGTCGCAAGAAGCTCTCATCTTCCGAGCTTTTGACACTCCGTTTAAACCATTAGACATGATGGTGATCTCGGGTCCAGCGATCATGTCATCTATCGGCGGTGATCGTGATTGACGAGATGGGAATGCTTGAGTAGAGGCGTGGAACATTGTGTATGACAGATGGTGTGACCGCAGGATGAAGCGCACAAGTAGGTATGAACAAAGATGTATTATATAGAATGAACGACAAGAAGAGAGCTCCGGTCTGAACTAGGTTGGATCCAGGAATGATCGCAGTTGGTATCATGGTGCAGTGGGCGTATCTGTGCTGCATATGGCTGTCAAGCTAGACTGGGCGTTGAGCTGAGACTTGAACGTGCAGGGACAGGGAATGCTGCAGCCATTGCAGACGGACGTGCTCTGGATGGCACATGGGGGCTAAGGCTTACCGGCGAACTTACATCATGCTCCATCAAGCCTAGCGCGTTAGGTAGGCTGCGGAACCACATGAGCGCATTCGTGCTCGCTAGTACCAGTATAAGGCTTTTTACCCCAATAAAATGTATCAAAAGCTTCGCTGAACAGGTCGTTCGCAAACTTGTGTGACAGATATGGCGTAGTAGGAGGGTTTGGTACTGAGCACAACCATTGCTCGAGGGAAGAGATCATACCAGATACCGTGCCGCATGGTCGGTACACGATGAGGCTCGGTGACCTGGGGCTCCGGTTGTAAGTGAAAGGCTAGCCGCATTGAACGGAGAAATCCACGAGGGCTGTACCAATGACCCACCTGTGAGGTACACCCTTTCTGCGTCTTGCAGTGGCATTGGTTCAGGATTGCAATACCTAGCTTTCCAGTCATCAAAGCCCTGCAAACGATATGCAGACAACTTCTCTGTGCGTGGGGTTTCCTAGCGCTGACTTGCCGTGTTCGGGCTTGCTACACAAAAAGAACGACGCTTGACAGTTTCTGCTACGGCGCAGACTAAGCCTCGCATGCTTGATATAGTGACGTGACAGTGAGATTTTCGGTGTGTATGGTACACAATAGCGTGTCAGGCAATCTTCAGTTTTCCTTAGGGCTGAGTGTATTGTAGGACAAGTAGTACACTGCTGTTGAGACACAGAAAGGCGACGGACATGGCTCGTAGCACGGGTCAGATGCTGCGGGAAATCCAGAGCGCAATCTTTAGTTGAATTTGCTCTCTAGCACTGTATGGCCATTGGATACGTTCGGCTCCTGCATTCGATCCGGGAAGAGACGTTCCCCGGAGCTGGGCTGATGCGGGCCGATCATAGATCATAAGGCTCGCCCGTGCACTGCGCAGCCGCCCATCTCGCGGTATCTTGGTCTCGAGGCTTCCAGACTTGTGCAACGACTTCGTCAAGAGGTAACACGCAAGGATGCAATGCGATACATGTACTCCCTACCTGGATACGCTCAGCCTCAGGCACAAATAAAGGCAAGCGAAACAGCAAGCCGAATCGTCCCGTCGAGGCTGCGATGTGGGCAGCGCGGCAGCGGCAGCGGCGACAACATCAACCCCATGCAAAGAGCTCTCGGTAACGGAATGCCATGAAGAAGAGGGGCGGAAAACAGCATGTCGTGAGTGCGCCGTGTTGGGGCGCAGACGTAGGTGAAAGTGGGTGAACCACAGGATTGGGGACGGCAGCAGGAGATAACCGCCCGCGCTAGCTTGATCGCTGCGTAATGCGGGGTCACATTGGCTGTCGCTCCACCCCCTATTTCAACGGCGAACATGCACCTAGTGACCTGGAAGGGTTCGCAATCTACAGCACGTTTTACAATCTAGAGTCCAACCACTTCATTAGCGGAACGGCATCCAACCCACGCATAGCCAAATCTGGATTAACAAGCCAAAGGACAAGGCGCACCCCGACTTCATATCGCTCAATGTTGAACCACCCAAATGATAGGATTCTCAAACCTGAAACACGCAATACTCCCCGACATAGTAGACTACACTGCACGATGATGGCGAGACCATGACTCTCCAACATGTCACTGTCAAGTGATGCGCAAAGTGGCTGGCAATGCATGATCCTATCCAACACGACCAGCTATTAAATTCTGGCCCTCGCTCCGGACAAGGGCATAGCGACATCAGGAATGAAGAAGACATGCTCGTATTTGAGTTCAGTGGCTTCGAGGTCGGACAGCGAAGAGATTAATGGGATGCCAACGGGCTTTTCAACATCTTAGGTTAGAGAGCGACATGAGTAGGACTGCCGCATGCGACCGCAACTCAGACCGTGTTTCACGACCACCGGCCTTCTTTCTACTTGGGTTCCAATTGCGCTATATTTCTACTCGGCTTCACAGTTCACTGGTGTACCAGCTACAGCGAGCAACGACTACTGTTTTGCCGACCAGACGCTGGCGTCATATGCAATCATCGACTGCACGTACTCATCGCCAGCCGTTGCCCATCCTTTAACGCCATCAAGAAGCACGAGGCTCTCCATCTGCGCATCTCCTTGATTCGCTATATGGTCGGCGAACCAACCTGCGGCACGGGTACCACGTCCTTTTGAAGAAGCTGCATTGCGATAATACTTAGCGCTGCTGCAAGTGTAGTTGCTATCGCACAGGAGTGGCCTTACAGCAGTACCAGATTACCTTCCTTTGACCTGAATCTTTGAAGAGATAATAGAGTGTGGGTATGGTAGGGTACAAGCTTTGCGCAGGAAGGTTTATCGCACCGCGAATAGTGCCGCCCTATTTCAACTGATTAGTCTCAGAATAAAGTGTGTGAACGAAAATCAACGTCACCTGGTAATCGTTGCCACGCAAGTCGACAAGAACAAAGTCCCTGCTAGAAGAATCTGCGCCTTGCTTCATCATCTTCAGAACTTGTTCTCGGCGAATGAGAGTAGGCGTGCTTCTGGGCGCTGGGTAGGCTACATGCCATAGTGAGTGTGAGAGATTGTTCGTGGTGGAGGTGGCCATTCCTAGAGATCTCCCCGAGGATTTGCAAGCAATTGCAATTTTTCGCAACATTTGAAAGCAGTTGTGGATTAGTGACCTTGCCATGTGTTGGCGTTGAGATATTCAGTAAGTCACTGGTGGGCGATGATTGGTCCAATCCCTGGGTCAAATTAGTTCCTGCGGTGTATACTATGCCCTACATCTTCCCTGGTATGTCACTGCTGGAGGATGATTGGAGCAATGCTAATCGATATGCCATCGAAATTCACAATGGCATACATAAAATACAGATGCTTTCTACCCAGCATCAGTACCTTGATTCCTCAATAATCACAGCCCCGAGATATCCTAGCGCACAAGTGCAGATACAAAGACCATGTCTTCAACATTAGATCAAGGACCACGGCCCAATTCAACTCAGACTCTCTCATCCGACAAAAGCACCGACCTGGAGAGTCTGCCAATCCAAGAACAAGCAGCGCCGAACCACGTCTCAGTGATCAAAGGGCTAGGATATCTCGATCGTTTCCTCGCACTCTGGATCCTTCTCGCCATGGCGGTGGGCATTCTTCTCGGTAATTTCGTCGAAGAAATCGGGCCAGCGCTTCAAAAGGGCAAATTCGTTGGGGTATCCATACCTATCGCCATAGGTCTACTAGTTATGATGTATCCCATCTTGTGCAAAGTGCGTTACGAGACTTTACACCGTCTTTTCCGCACTCGCGCACTCTGGGTGCAGATCGTTTTCAGTATTGTCATGAACTGGGTTATCGCCCCACTGCTTATGGTAGACATTCCTCCAAACCTTTCTTGCCAGTATTACACTGACTCAAGCTAGCTCGGTCTTGCGTGGGCATTTCTTCCTGATCAGAGCGACCTGCGAACAGGATTGATATTGGTTGGTTTGGCACGATGCATTGCCATGGTATGCTTGTTAACGTCCATAATTTTCGCTTTCGTTTTCCTCTTACTAACACCTGCTTTCAGGTCCTTATCTGGAACGGGCTTGCAGGTGGCGACGATGAATACTGTGCCATTTTGGTAGCAGTCAACTCTATTCTCCAAATGATACTCTATGCGCCCCTCGCCATCCTCTTCGTCAAGGTCATCAGCCGCGAGACTGGCACCGTCGCCGTCTCCTACGAAACAGTCGCCACGAGTGTCGCCGTGTTCCTCGGTATACCTCTTGGCGCTGCGATTCTGACACGCCTTTTGCTTCGCAAGCTGGCAGGTGCGAAGTGGTACGACCAGGTGTTCCTCAAGTGGCTTGCCCCATGGTCACTCGTCGGCCTCCTCTACACCATTCTCGTTCTCTTCGCCTCTCAAGGACAACAGGTCGTTCATCAAATCGTCTCCGTCGTTCGAACCGCCGCACCCCTGATGGTACACTTCGTTGTCATCTTCTTCTTCACATTCTTCGTGTGCAATAAGCTTGGGTATGGATACAAGTTGGGAGCAACCCAGAGTTTCACGGCTGCGAGTAACAATTTTGAGCTTGCTATCGCTGTTGCCGTCGCGACGTATGGTCCCAATAGCGACCAGGCACTTGCCGCCACAGTAGGACCTCTCATTGAAGTTCCTGTGCTGATCGGCTTGGTGTATCTGGTAAAGTGGATGGGTTAGAGGTGGGCGTGGAAGAACACCTGATTCGCGATAGTTACCATTGTCTTCATATGTTATCTCATCTGATTATAGCTTGTCTTATACATAACGTTTCGACCATAGGCCCGCCGCTTGAGCCGTGTGGATTGTTGTTATCATCTCAGACTTCCACCTCGTGACACTAATTTCTTCTTTCCCAGCTAACTTCATTATCCATGGCTTGAGATAATTGGTATCAGTTGACCCAGGTCGAATTACAATTTTGGCTTTGCTAGAGCAGGATACAAGTCATGCGCGTCATCAAACGATGGAGACTGAAGTAGTAATGCGTTATGTCCGTTTGTGGCTAGCACTCGAGCTTTACCGAGGCTAAGACCAATCTTGATTTCTCCACGGAGATTTACCACGCGACTCTGCACCCCATAGGTCGTGCATCTCATCGCTTGCGAGCGGCAACATACCCTATGTCAACACTTCACGAGTCTTCCGACAACTTACGGGGCGATTCAACCTCTGATGCTGTGAACACCAGGCCCTCGGCGCCAGTCGCGAAAAGAGCTTGCGACGCGTGCAAGCGTCGCAAAGTCAGAGTAAGACATTGCACGAGACATGGAGACGGTACGTACTCAAGGCTTTGCTGACCTCGTTAGTGTGATGCATTGTCAACACCATGCGCAAATTGCCGCATATCACGCCTCGAGTGCGTTTATAACATAGCACCCCAGAAGAGGGGACCAAAGCGCAAGCGGAACGTTACTACACAGCCAACTTTCAGGGTTTCAGATGGCGAATCCATGCGACAAGCCGGTGCGACAGTCCATCAAAGCGATGCGCGTCTGAGCAACACAACTTTCAGATCGTATGATCTGCAGGTGTCACTTACAGGTGCTCCTTCGTCAGCGGCGAGAAACTTACAACCCTCGTCCCAAATACACCAACAACCCGACCTTGCGCTGCACGGCATCGCAGACCAATGTATCACATTGTACATGAACTACCTCTTTCCTATATCGCCCACCATCCATGAACCATCAATCCGTGCCATGGTACCCTTATTGCAAGGTAATGGTGGTGAGGATATGGCAGTGTTACGTAGTCGCACACTTTTAACAGCATTGTGCGCTGTTACTGCTCTCACATTGCCTGTCTCGGTTTTCCCAATGCGAGAACAAATCGGACGTCAGTTTCTTACTGCATCGCGAGAGACGCTGAAGTCGCACGAAGATTACGGTTGGTGGAACAATCTATACGGCATGCACAGGCTACGAGCTGACTTGATACTGTTCTTAAAGATATCGAGCATCTAGACTATATCTCTCTAGTCACGAGGTCCTATCTTTGGACCGCCTTACATGCCGTTGGCAAAACGCGCGTCTCTTGGCATGTACTTGGAGAGGCTATACGTTTCGCGCAAGAAATGCGGCTTTACGATGAGACCTCCTATCAGAATCTTGATCCACTTGAGGAACGTCTCCTCAGAAGCATATTCTGGCAGATCCATACTGCTGACAGGTCTGCGGCGATCTTGAACGGGCGTCCAATCTCGCTGCACCGCGCGTGCCTAGGAGCTAAAGTCACCACGATGTACTGGCGTGGATCTTTGCCTGATGTACCTTTACTGGATTATTCGAGCACCCCGAGCGCTCTCGACATAGAGAGCGTGGTCAGACAGGGATATGACCTCTGTCAAGACCTGTGGACAAAAGCGTCAAGCATCATCATAAAATTCGACTCCTTGGAAATCTGGAACGAAGGTGTCGAGGATCGATCTGCCTTAGTTGGCCCGTCTCATGAAGTCGTCATCACTGACTATCTTGACTTTATTGCCATGATTGATCATTGCCGATTTGACATCAAGGTACCTGAGACAGTAGATCCTGATTCGCCGACATCGACACGGATTCAACGAGCCTTTGATATCCAAAGAACGAACCTGTGTGTGACTTACTATTGTTTAAAGATGGTTCTTCTCCAGAGGTTCTATGAAACAGGAATATCCGAACATCTTGGCGTTAGCGGAACGTCATACTCGCTTGCATTGAGGAGGCTCGACATCGCTAGTGACATGGTCAGGGTACTATCAGAGGTCTCTATCGAGTCTCTCCAAGTGAACGGGGAGCCGTGTGTATGTTACGATATGCGTCTTGAAGTATATCTGCTGACAGCTTTGGAGGTAGAGAAGATTCGAAGAATAGGAGTGACTCTCCTTGAACTCATCCAGCAAAGTCACAACCTAGCACTTACCGAACGTGCTAAATCATTGTTCTTCACCCTCTTAGATGTCCTTTCGAGACTGGATTCTCGCGTCTCCGAAGAGCTCGATTTCAACCGTGGATTCTGAGCAGGATGCATCGCGATGGCTGTGATCTTTATCGTTGGAGATGAAGAGATTGTGATTGAGTATCATGTTCGAACCACAAACGAGTGGACGAAATGACAAGGATGGAGCGCTTTGCCACTAAGATGGCTGCGATGTTATGGGTATGATTTGAAGAGCCAACATGTCTTGCCGAGTTGAACAACGGGAAACTCATTGACAGCTCTAGTGATCTGATGTTGAGATCGCTACAGATTTATTTCAGACCTTCGATAGATCCTCATCAAAAACGATCGCTACTGGCTTCTCTAGGTCATCATCTTTTGCGATTGTTGCGACCTCAATTTCACACTTGAAGTTACTGAAACTTCTTGCCGGCGACCCCCTTTGAAACATCGTCTCTAGCTCCAGATAGCTACGACCCTTCATCTCAGGGAAGCAAAAGTACATGTAGATAGATGACGATACTGGAGGAGCGAAGAAGACGAAGGCAACCTTTGCGCCGAGGTTCGCGTTACTGGGGTTGATCAAGATGGGTACAAGCTGGGTTACGAGACAGGTTGCGGCCATGTTTGACATAACGTTGATCGAGTATGCCTTCTGTCGTAGGCGAGCAGTTGGAGTCTCGCCACCGACCGCGTAAGCCACGGCGCCAAGCGTCAGTTAGAACAAGAAACCCCAGAAAGACATGAAGCCAACAACTGCTTGAAGAGCAGTGCGATTGTTCTCCAGTGTTCTAAGACCGCCAACGAGAAGGAGCAAGCAGGTGATCGCGATTGTACCATATACAATCATCGGTCTGCGACCGATACGATCAACAAGGAACAGGGAAACAATGTTGCCAACCAGCTGAATCGCATAGCTAATTTGCGCGATACCCAGTGGATTTTCGACTTCAGCATGTGTGAAGTAATACCTCGAGCATGTCAGCATCCGGACCCACCTGTCTCGTCATGATACGTAGACTGGTAAATGGGTATGGTATACCCAGCTGTGGGTATAGGTTGGGTTTGGGTCGCACGGGCCTTGGGTATAGGTTGACTTAGGGTATACTCTAGCGTGTGTGTAGGTTAGGTTAGGGTTGCTCTAGTTTGGGTATGGGTTAGGTTGGGTTGGAGTCTGACAAATCAGACCCAACCCTGACCTAACCTATACCCATTTACCAGTTTATTGATACGTACGGTAGATACCCTTGGACGAATTTGGCTCCCACGAACTGCTGGACCATGTATACAAGACACACGATCAAAGTGCGGCGCAAATTCACACCCTTCAAGCATTCGAGGTACGACGCACTTTCGGATTGGAGTGTGCGCTCTCTCTGAACCGCCGCCTCTAGCACCGCGACGACCGCGGCAGCATCGTAGTTTGGGCCGTTGAATTCATGGAGGGCTGCGATGGCTTTCTCATGCTGTCCGTGAAGGATTAACCACGAAGGTGATTCAGGAAGAAGTATCGTGCCAAGGACGACCGTCAGAATCGGGGGTAGCAGCTGCGAGAGGATAGGCATTCGCCATACCCAATCATTGTTGATGGACAATCCACCGTAGCCAACAAGTGCGCAGGACCACTGACCAACCACGATCATAGTATTCTGGGAGGGTGAGTGGCGTTGCTAAGCAATAAAGTAAGCTCAGTCAACTCACCACCAAGGTCAAGCATATCCCTCGCAAATTGTCGGGTACGATCTCTGGAACGTATACATGAGAAAGTGCATGGCCCAATCCGTACCCAAGGGTGCTGATGAGTTTTCCCCCAATGAGCATCATGATAAAGTTTGCGAACCCTTGAACGAAGAGTCCGACGATGCAAAGCAAGCAACCAGCAAGGACTACCTTGCGACGACCAATCTTGTCTGCGATGAAGCCAGCAGCGAAGACAACCATGAAGGTACCAACTGTCGTAGCAGCGTTCAACACTTGCTAGTCGCATACGCTTATCTTAATGGCACCTGTGGCTGTCTCTTAACCGAATCGATCGAGAAATGCAGGGGTTGCGATGATGTTGCCGATCAGAGCAAGTTCAAACCCAAAGTTGACAGGAAGGAGGAAGACAAGCAGGCCTAATTCACGACGGTTAGATAGATGATGAGTGCGAAAATATGCTCGACATACACCATGCTAGTATTCGCTTCTGTTGCCAAAGATCACTAAACCCTGGGCTCTCATGAGTGGTTCGATGGTCAACGGTATGGACTTGGGCATCTGACCATGGACGGTCTTTTCTATTGACCCTTCCATCAATGCGCATTACTGGTGTAGTCGAGTGATGAATATTAGACGTTTTGGAGCCATATAATAGATTTGAACTACGTTTCTACACTATTTCTGCCACAGTACTTATAACAACGCGGGGAGGATGCTTGTCTGACCTCATGGCATAGTCTGGGGTAGACTGTATTTCTCCACGGCGAAATGGCAAGACCTCGAATCATGGACATCTGTTACCGAGCACGTGGTGACGGCCCCACAACTGGGATTGTGGACGGCGGAAGTCTAGCCATGTGGTGCGATTGGCTAGCGGCGCCGGGCTCCGTGCCACAGTAGGCTAAGCGCCGCATAATTCTCCGTGGCGAAACAGAATCGCGATACGCGTAAAGAAATTTCTCCATGGAGTAATAAAGCATGACAACAACTTCGGAGCGATGGAGACCGACTATAATCGGCTCGAGCTACATTGCTCGACCCGATCTGGTTCGTTTCGCCGTCTCCCTCAAGTTCCTTAACCTTTGCCCTATTCATCATCCACAGGGAAACCAAAAAGCAATGTTCAGCAACCCGATAATACCTGGATTCGCGCCGGACCCTTCTGTCGTTCACGTAGACGGCATCTATTATCTGGCGACTTCTTCCTTTCATTTATTCCCTGGTATTCCAATCTATGCGTCCACGAATCTGCAAGACTGGAGGCATATCGGTTCGTCTGCTTCTTCGCACTGTTCTGGCATGAGCGCTGGCTGAGGCTTCCAAGGGAATGCAATCAACAGATCCACACAACTCGATCTGCACAATGCGACTACATCTGCGATACCCCTCGATGATGGCAACGTGATGGTAGCATCTGGAGGATTATTTGCACCCACTATTCGACATCACAACGGCACTTTCTACATCGCCTGCACAAACTGCTCCCACGGAAAGGACAACTGGCAAACCGACAATTTTCTAATAACAACTGACGACATCTGGTCCGACAACTGGAGCGACGCGATACCATTTGATTTTTACGGCATCAGTCCTTCACTTTTTTTCGACGATGATGGCCGCGCGTATATCCAGGGCTCATGGATGATGGAGATGGATCGCATGAAACAGCCAAGTTGCACGATCAAGCAGTTTGAAATTGACGTCAGAAGCGGATCCGCACTATCTGAAACGCGTGAGATTTGGGGCGGCTTTGCTAAACGAGATACCGAGGGTCCACACATTTACAAAAAGGATGGTTGGTACTATTTACTAGTGGCTGAAGGCGGGACCTTCGAACATCACATGCTGTCCATAGCACGCTCAAGAGATATCTGGGGACCGTACGAATCTTGTCCAAATAATCCCATCATGACTGCGGATGGCAGGAATGAATACGTGCAAAATATTGGCCACGGAGAAATCTTCCAAGATATGAACGGGGACTGGTGGGCAGCAGTCTTGGGTGTACAGGGAGACCAGAACAAGGCGCCAATGGGGCGCGAAACCTTTCTCACAACAGTAGAGTGGCCAAAAGACGGATGGCCCCTTATTGAGCAGCCACAAATGTCGTTCAGCACACCGCGCACAGTACAATTAGGTTTCGCTGCGGCACAGCTGATCAAGAAATCGCGATTAGTAAACCCCCACCTGGACGATTTATACCTGCATAAGCCACTGCGGAGTCCCTACAAGAAATCCGGCTCAATAGCGCTCACACCTCATACTTCGACACTCTCCGCCGCAACAGCGCCTCTCGCTTTACTGGCCCGCCGCCAACGAAGCGTAAACGCCATTGCTGCAACGACTGTACTCCTCGATAACGAGGCCACTCATTCAAACGCGATAGGTGGATTAACTGTATACAAAGATCCCCTGCGCCACGCTAGTATTTCCGTCGCCCTGTCCACCCGTCTCATCCACGTCCACTTCGTTGACGCGTCCAACGATTACGAGTACACAGCATCGTACCCAGAGCCCGTCTCGCGTTCGTCCACAGCCGTAGACCTCCGTATCATCGCTGGCGAAGAGCGTTACGCACTCGAGTTCCGCGACCCTGACCGTGACCGACGATGGAAGCAAGTCGACATGGTGGATACTACTATGCTGAGTGCACGGGATTTTACAGGCACGATCATGGGCATATTTGCACTCAGAGACCGCAATGCGAGTCCGAGTAATAGCCCGCGTGATGACTGTGACAGTGGAAGCGACGTAACGGACCAAAAGGTCACATTTCGAGATTTTGAAGTCAGAGGTTAGCGGGATATGTTACTTTTGTCTTTTCAAGCAATGGCGCAAGGCGCATGTATGGCGTATAGTATTTCTAGCTAATCGATACCCATGACGAAGCAAACAAAGAGGGCTCGTTTGCTCGGACAAATCGAGCGCCGCATTACATTGATGTACGACCCTAAATATGGCGGCGCCTCGGTAGCTTCGATGGCTTGGCCCTAGGTGGAGTGGATCTACGCTGACATGTACGAGAGCTAAGGGCGGAGTGGGTTCCAAACTATCATTCCGCCGCCGTTTGAAGCGTCATGCACCTACTTTGGCACTTTAGACTCAAAACCGCCGTCATAACGAAGCTTCATGCATTGAAGACAGAGTCTTCACTTCGATTGGCCTTATTGCAGGTTCAAAGTAATACATAGGCAGATCTCAACAGTATCACGACTCTTTGAGGCTGCATCTCTCGGTGTGCACAGTGTTCCGAAGGAACATCGCAAACACCGTAATTATACCGTCAACACGATCACTCTTTTCAAAGTAGGCCGGCACAATTTCGCACATCAGATCTATATAAGTTGTCAACATGTGTTCCCAGTATTCCGCAACACAAACATTTTTCCTATCAACATTACCACTTTGTTCCACGACCCAGGGTCCAACTATGGTTTCTTTTAGCATCATCGGCTTAGCGGCCGCTTTGACTATACTCGCATTTCCTGCTGTCGCTACCCCTGCACCACAATTCAGACCAAACTCAGGTTGTCGCCTCATTAGCAAGACCTCAGGTCCATCCCCCGAATGTAGATTGCCAACCGCAGAATGCGGCTCTGGTCAATATGTAGGACGCACTGAAGGGGGAAGCACAAATACTGCTCCCGGGATCTGCAAGGCCTGGACTAATGTATGTCTCAATTCCCTTGTGGCAAACCCACGTGTACTTCAAGCCCTCCTATATTCCATTCACTAACGTAAGCTTTCTAGTGGGAGTGCTGCACGCGAAGCTAGGGAATTCAGGTTTGAATAGCTAATAGGAAGATATATGACATAATAACAAGCTCGGAACCCAACTATTAGCGAATCGGTGACATATCGTGTACGGCCATACCTCCTTATCGATGCCTGGCCTCTATCTTCTGTACCCACCACAAATCACGCCATATAGCACACAAGAAAAAACTCTTCTTTCCTCGAACAGCAACTTTGTCAGTACGCGACTCAGAAAACAGTCAGACTCCAAGCCCGACGGACTCATTCTTGGTGGACCTTGTTGCGAAATCACGCCTTCGTCAGCCATGAAAAGGGCCAAGCGGAGTAAATTTCCCCTTGGGACGCCATGGCGCCCCACTTGGCTTGTACATCAGCCGAAATGAACCTTCCTCGGTGCCGCACTCGTACTCGCACTACCCAGCAAGGGTGCCCTATCAACGTGCCAGGGTGCTTAGGCGAAACGATCTATGCGCTCGGTGTCTTTTGCCACGAGACTAGGCATCCAGGTCGAGGCATTCCACGCTTTTGGAGCTAATGATGCGACTTGCCTCGGTAAACCTTGTAGGGCTGACAGATGCTCGAGATGACTATACACGACGTGGTAGACAACTGAAATAGACAAAAGTGTTACCATTATACTGCCCGCGAAAGCACTAATCCGATGGCCGTCGGGAAGCATGTCTCTGACACCAACAGCCTGCTGACAACATCTCTCTTGTTGGAAACAATAGCAATCTGTAGCTATCACTCGATCTGATCAGAAAAACTAGGCCTGGTTTATCGATGAAGCAAATGAGCTACTGGCTTACAAACCGATTATCATGAACACCCAGGTGACTTGCCAAGGAAAGTTCTCTCTCATACATGACACAAGGATAGACACAACGAAGCTCTATCCCCTCATCTAATGGACAAACTAAACGCCTAACGCTCTATCTTCTCGACTTATCTCCCATGGCTCTAGCGGAAGTCTCGCATAACTTGGTGATTGGTCTGGACTTCTCGGTCATTGCACCACTCTGCAAAATCCCATATCATACGCTATCAGAAGCTATAGCCATAGTTGGTTTCCTTCAGCACCTGATCAGTTTCCTGCTTGCATTCGAGTGCTATAGAGCACAACTCCTTGCGCAGCCGTCCGCAGCACTCCCTTCAGTGTTATGAGCCACTCTTACTTCACCAACAAGCCGTACTCTTAGGAGTAAACAATCCTTACCAGAGGTAAAAACAGCTGTGTAGCTGTCATCAGGTGCCAAAGATAGTTCAGAATACACGGTCGTAAACATTACTATTAGACCCTTCTCATCCTCTCCCCCGCCATCCCACCAATACATGAGTCTTCGCCCATACCAGCACACTCATATACCCAATCCCCCTAACCCAATCGTACACAACCCGTCTACCCAAAGAAGATTTATGATGGATCCGGCGAACGAAAAAAAAAACGAGAGATATCAAGGAAGAAGAAGAATAAGAACAAGAACGAAAAAGGACGAGATGGAATCGAACACACATGGCACAAAAGGTACTCATTCACACCGACCCCACCGCTTGATCCCCCTGTCCCCCCATCGATATCATCATCGACTCCTGCGCAAGTTCATCCGCAGGCGGCACCTCCTCGGCCGCCACCTCTCCATTCGACAAAACCACGCCTTCAGCCTCAGAGTCCTCAACAGCACCCGGTCCCTCCTCAACATTCTCATCCGTGACATCGTGGAACCTGGCCTGCTCAACCGTTGGAAGAAGCGGCCCAGCGACATCCATACCATGGCCATGATGACGATCAGCAAACCCATTGACCAGCCCCCCATTCGCCATAATCCCCCCATGTTGTTGATGATGATG